CCTTCTAGGTTAGTTCTTTTTGATCTAACCTTTTCTCTAGTTCCTGGTCCCCTTATCCTATTGGCCTCGTTGCTTTTGAGGTATCTGCTTTAGTTTCTCTGCATTGAGGGCAACAAATGCTATCTAGTTTTTTAGGTGTCTTACCTATCCTCACCCTTCCCTTGTGTGCTCTCACTTTTATCATGTGATCAAAGTCCAATACCCTTGTTGTGTTTGCCCTTGATCTAATGTCCACATATGAGGGAGAACATACGATTTTTTGCTCTTTTGGGCCAGGCTAACCTCACTCAGAATGATGTTCTCCAGTTCCATCCATTTACCAGCGAATGATAACATTTCGTTCTTCTTCATGGCTGCATAAAATTCCATTGTGTATAAATACGTCATTTTATTAATCCATTCATCAGCGGTGGGGCATCTTGGATGTTTCCATAACTTGGCTATTGTGAATAGTGCCGCAATAAACATGGCTGTGTAGGTGCCTCTGGAGTAACCTGTGTCACAGTCTTTTGGGTATATCCCCAAGATTGGGATTGCTGGATCAAATGGTAGATCAATGTTTAGCTTTTTAAGTAGCCTCCAAATTTTTTTCCAGAGTGGTTGTACTAGTTTACATTCCCACCAACAGTGTAAGAGGGTTCCTTTTCCCCGCATCCTCGCCAACACCTGTTGTTGGTGGTGTTGCTGATGATGGCTATTCTAACAGGGGTGAGGTGGAATCTTAGTGTGGTATTAATTTGCATTTCCTTTATTGCTAGACATGGTGAGCATTTTTTCATGTGTTTTTTGGCTATTTGAATTTCTTCTTTTGAGAAAGTTCTGTTTAGTTCATTTGCCCATTTATTGGTTCATTAGTTTTGGGAGAATTTAGTTTTTTAAGTTCCCTGTATATTCTGGTTATCAGTCCTTTGTCTGATATGTAGATGGCAAATATTTTCTCCCACTCTGTGGGTGTTATCTTCAGTTTAGAGACCATTTCTTTTATTGAGCAGAAGCTTTTTAGTTTTATGAAGTCCCATTTATCTATGCTATCTCTTAGTTGCTGTGCTGCTTGGGTTCCATTGAGAAAGTTCTTACCTATACCTACTAACTCCAGAGTATTTCCTACTCTTTCCTGTATCAACTTAAGAGTTTGGGGTCTGATATTAAGATCCTTGATCCATTTTGAGTTAATGGTTGGTATAGGGTGATATACATGGATCTAGTTTCAGTTTTTTGCAGACTGCTAACCAGTTTTCCCAGCAGTTTTTGTTAAAGAGGCTGCTTTTTCTCCATCGTATATTTTAGTGCCTTTGTCAAAGACAAGTTGGTTATAGTTGTGTGGCTTCAAATCTGGGTCCTCTATTCTGTTCCACTGGTCTTCATGTCTGTTTTTGTGCCAGTACCATGCTGTTTTTATCGTTATTGCTTTGTAATATAGTTTGAAGTCAGGTATTGTGATACCTCCAGCATTGTTCTTTTGACTGAGTATTGCCTTGGCTATTCGTGGCCTCTTGTGTTTCCATATAAATTTAACGGTAGATTTTTCAATCTCTTTAATGAATGTCATTGGAATTTTGATGGGAATTGCATTAAACATGTAGATTACTTTTGGGAATATAGACATTTTTACTATGTTGGTTCTACCAATCCGTGAGCATGGGAGATCTCTCCACTTTCTATAGTGTTCCTCAATCTCTTTCTTCAGAAGTGTATAGTTTTCCTTGTAGAGGTCGTTCACATCCTTTGTTAGGTTTACACCTAGGTATTTGATGTTTTTTTAGGAAACACAAGAGGCCACGAATAGCCAAGGCACTGATTGTACTTAGGTTAAATGTCTATTATCCAAACTGCTTGACACTGGAAGTGTGTCAGATCTCAGATTTTAAATCTGTGCATAAGCAAACATTTCATGGTGTCGTGTTTTCTAACTGTGGCATCAGGTCTGCACGTAAAGCTTTGGGCTTGGGGGCCTTTGGATTACAATGCTCAGCCTGTAATAAGTAATTGGTTGTTTGTCTCGTTGTTATCAGTACTTTTAGCAAGTAGTAGATGTATGAAATTTAGCAGTTTATAACAATTTAGAATTAAATGATCATAATAATAACAAATTAGCATTTCCTGGGGGACTAAAATAAATTTTAATGGGTTTCATACTTCTAAGATTTTTTTTTCCCTCAAAATTGTAGAGAGGCTTCCTAAATCACAAAAAATTATGGTGAAAAGGCTAATTTGGCATGAAGGATAAAGAAAAACTAAAATATAAGAATTGTGAGTTACTTCAGAAGACTAAGTTAAGATCTATGTGCTCTTGTAGGTAATACGTGATTTAGGACTACCAGAATTGTAATGAGCACGTACATGAACTAGAAACCACACAAGATTTATCGCAGCCTTGTTCATGGTGGCAAAAGATTAAAACAGCCCAAATGCCTTTTATCATGGGACCTGTTTAATAATAAATTAATAAATATGTCCAAATAGAAAGATGAAAGCACAGCTGTAAAAGAATGACATGGCTCTATTTGGAAGGCAGCTGTGCTCGCCACTATACCACCAACACCTCCTAGAGGTGGCTCTGTTTGGAAGGTTATGAGATGACCTTTAAAACTGTTAAGTAGATAAAGCAAGGCTTCGGTCTCCAGGTGCTTAGTGTGCCTGAGTCCTGGGTTTGATGTCCACCACCACCAAAAATAATAATAATAATAATAATAATAATAATTTTTTAAAAGGTGAGCTTTTTGAAGTTTTTTTTTTAAAAAAAGGACTTTTTTTGGCATTTTTAGACACTCATGATTGATGATTTAGTAAAAAGTGAAAAATGGCTGGGTATGGCATTGCCCATCTGTCCCAGCCACTCAAGAGCCAGAGACTAGCCTGGACAAAGTTAGGAGACCCTGTCTAAGAAATGAAATGCAAAAACAAAAGGACTAGAGCACTTGCCTAGCATGTGTGAGGCCCTGGGTTCAATGCCCAGTACCACCAAAACATACAAAAAAAGTGAATAACATTAATTTTGTTAAAAGTAGCCTTGTAGTGGGGAGTGCTAGCATATGCCTGTAATCCCAGCACCTCGGAGGTTGAGGCTGGAGGATCTAGACTTTGAAGCCAGGCTGGGCTACATAGTGAGACCTTGTCTCAAAAAACAAACAAACTGGGTGCTGGTGGCTTCTGCCTATAATCCTAGCTGCTTGGGAAGCTGATCATAGTTTGAGGCCAGCCTGGGCAAAATGTTTGTAAGACCTCATCTAAACCAATAACTGGGCATGTGGTGCATGCCTGTCACCCCACCTACTCAAGAGGCATAAATCAGGAGATCTCAGTTCAAAGCCAGCCTAAGTAAAAAGTTATTGAGATCCCATCAACAATCAGGTAGGGTGATGCACATTCCCTGCTATTTGGGAGGCTGACAAATAACTAAAGCAAAAAAAGGACTGGGGATGTGGCTTAAGCTGTACATTATCTGCCTAGTCAGTGGGAAGCCCTAAATTCATACCACAGAATAGCCCCAAACAAAACCCACAAAACAAAAAAGTACCCTTGTAACCAAATTAAGCTGGTCATTCACAGGATATACAGTTTGGGTTGGTACTTTAATGTTGCATAATGACCGTTGTTTAAGTTTTTACTTGCATATTTCTAGTTTATTTACTTTTTTTGGTGGTACTGGGATTTGAACTCCGGGCTGTGTGTTTGTGAGGCAAACACTCTACTGCTTGAGCTACACTCTAGCCTATTTTTGCTGTCATTATTTTGAAAACAGGGTTTCGCTTTTTGCCCAGGCTGGCCAAAACTGCAGTCTTTCTAAACTACAATTCTTCTATTTTAAGCTTCCCACCATTGGTGGGATGATAGGTTTGCACCACTGTGCCCTGCTTCCTTCCCCTGAAATGGGGTTGCATGAACTCTGCCCAGGCTGGCCTCAAACCACAGTCTTTTAGATCTTAGCCTCGCAAGTAGCTAGGATTACAGGTGGGAGCCACCGGCAATAAGCCACCTGGCTTATTGTTTACTTTTAAAAGATGCTAATAGCCCAGCACCAGTGGCTCACACCTATAATCCTAGCTACTCAGGAGGCAGAGATCAGGAGGATCGCAGTTCAAAGTCAGCCCCGGCAAATAGTTCGCAAGACCCTATTTCAAAAAACCCATCACAAAAAATTGGGCTGGTAGAGTGGTTCAAGGTGAAGGCCCTGAGTTCAAGTCCCAGTACCACACACACACACACACACACACACACACACACAAAATGCTGTTAATTGTACAAAGTCAGAGCATGTCTGATCAGTTAATTTGTGTTTCTTTCCACGCTCTTTGACTTAAAGCTTAAAAATTATTGGGTCACTTAATATTTGGCCTTCTTTGAATCTAATTTTTATTGTACTTTTCACTGACCACGTAGGCACAATCTTTGTAGAGTGGAAATTTCACCACAGCTTTGTGTTAAGATTCCTTGAGCAGCTGAGTGTGGTGGTGCATGCCTGAAATCCCAGCACTAGTAAAGAGCAGGTTCTGGGAGCCGTCACCAAGTGCCTTATGCATCTGGTTAGAGTCTCAGGGTAACAGCATTTGGGGGAGTTACTTGAGGGATGTTGTAGTTGTCAAGTCCGTGTAAGAATACACGTGTCAGCCCATGCAGTTGCTTGGCCCTCTGAGGCAGTGGAAGTTAGCTGAGTGGTCACACCAGGTTAGTTAGTGTATCTTGGAGACTTTTCTCCTGTGTGTAAAATGCCATGGATAATTAGATCACCGCACAGCCTACATAGTGCCAAAGACAGACTGACAAACTAGTTCTCTTTCAAAAGTGGATGTGCCTAACTGTCCTCCAGTTTTTAGGGTAATCACTCAAGTATGCTATCATGGAGAAAGGAAATAACCACACAGTTGTAAAGTCTTTAATGACTCAGTGTACGTGGCAGATAGTTGTGTTGGCATTTCAGCAGAATTCATCAGTTAGCTTTGGAAAGAAATAAGTTATCTGTTGTGTTTATTTCAGGCTCAATTTCCCCTCTTATATTTCAGGGAGGAAATAATGCTGGCCATACAGTTGTCGTAGATTCTGTGGAGTATGACTTTCATCTTTTACCTAGTGGAATAATTAACCCGAACGTGACCGCATTCATTGGTGAGTATTTGAGCCAGCTGCTGGGGAGGGTGGTGTCCCTGTGTGTTAGCGGAGCTGTCTGCACTTACCTCCACCCATGTGGTTCATCGATCCCGGGTGTTCTCACCATGGCGCCTTTTGGAATGTACCCAACTTTGGCTGTTTGTAACTCAGATCTTCTAGCAGTCATCATTTCTGGGATGATTACTTTGCATGCACCTGTTATCCTCGGCAACCTTTATTCTGTAAGAAGTAATGGATCATCAAATCAGTTTTCCAAATCCTTCCAGCTGTGACTCACTGTAAGCGAGATTTGGCTGTGAACCCTTACAATGAGTGATGCAGTCTGATGTTCCCTGTCCTGCTTTCTTATTTTTAAAGATGTAGCCGCATGCCAAATTGATTTTGTGACCAGCAACAGAGTGTGATTTCTGGACTCAAAAGACATTGATCTGAAGTCTACTGTGACCTAAACTACATAGCTAGTGTTTCATTCTTTTTTTTTCTTTTTGGCAGTACTGGAACTTGAACTCAGGGCCTTGTGCTTGCTAGGCAGGAGCTCTACTAGTTTTTTCTTAAATGATGTTTCACTTTGTTTTAAATACGTTGAGTGTGATTTTATTGTCTTATATTCTGTACATTGTATTCTATTACCTATTTACAGCATATCACTAAAACTTTATGTTTATTTCTGTAGTAACTCCTTAGTAATTCAGAATGTCCTATTAATCAATGTTAGAAGTAAAGGGTTATTATAGCTGTCTGAATTTTAATGTTATATGTCTACATTATAATTACAGATGTTCAAGGTTTGGGATTTGTTTTCTTTAGGAAATGGTGTGGTAATCCATCTGCCTGGATTGTTTGAAGAAGTAGAGAAAAATGTTCAGAAAGGAAAAGGTATGAACGGAGGCTAGCCACTAAGCTGTTGTTTTCTTGTATAGATTTATTACATTCCTGTCATTACTTAAAAGTTTCAGGTTAGTATTACTGGACAGATTTGTTTGTATGTCATTCACTGAATTTCATCATTATACTCAATATATTAAACAAACAACGAAAACTCCGTAACAGTGCCCTTGTGTGGGTCCTGTTGGTTACTTGCAAGCTTGATTTTTCCTGACTTCCTATGTCCATGAAGCCACGCCAGGCCGTGTCCTGGCTCACTAGCGCCCCCTCAGGTTGGCAAGCTGGGATGCAAGAGGCTGGTTCCTCCTAATGCAGCTTCTGTCAGACACCCGTTCATATTCATTCCTGCCTTTCCTGCTCACTTGGCTTCCTCATTAGGGAGGGAGGAGGATTTGAGAAGACGGGTAATACCTAGTTGAGGAAAATCGAAGTTTGTCGTGAAGTTTCAAAGTAGCAATCTCCCCTCAAGTGCTCTTAGTAATGTGACTTTACAGAACCTTGTCTTGCTACCATCTCTGTTGTCCTCTGTGCCTTTTTTCTTTATTCTTTTTCTTTCTTTCTTTTTTTTTGGTGCTACTGAGGTTTGCACTCAGGGCTTCACACTGTGAGGCAGGTGCTCTTCCGCTTGAACAACACCTCTTTCCCTTTTGTTCTGGTTGTCCTGGAGATAGGGTCTTGCTTTTTGCTCACGCTGGCCTGGACAGCATCCTCTTATTTTACACTTCGTGCCATAGCTGGGATGACAGGCGTGTGCTCCCATGCCCAGCTTTTTCCACTGACATGGTGGGGGGTGTCCTCATGAATTTTTTTTTTTGCCCAGGCTAACCTGGAACCATGATCTCCCTTTCTCTAAGCCTCCTGTGTAACTTGGGGTGACAGATGTGCACCACCACCCCTGACTGTTGTTTTGAGGTGGCGGTCTTATGATCTCCCTGCCCAGACCAGCCACAAACCCACAATCTTTCTGATCTCAGTCTCCCTGGTGCCTGGGATTACAAATGTGAGTCTCTGCACCCAGTTTGCTCTACCTTTTTTACCTTGTCTAAGTTGGTCAGGGTCTCGTGCCACTCTTTGCCATCATCTCCTTTCATGACTTTGCCCGGCTCCCTTTTTCCTTCTGGCCTTTGTCACTTTGCTGAATCCACTCTCCAGAACTTCTTTGTAATATTTTCCTTAGAGTAGTTCCTACACTAGCTTTAAGACATGTAAATATGGTCTGGAGGGAGGCTTACTGTTGTAGCTTTATCTTTTAGCACATTTATTGTAGCTCCTTAATCTATAATGAATAAATTTTGAAAGCAAGTCAGGGAAGTTACCAAAGATAACAACTAACTTTGAATTTTTAAAATAAAAATAAATTGTTTTGTGGTACTAGTAATCAAACCCAGAAACCCATGCGTGCTAGGCTCTTGCTCTACCCCAACCCCTACATCTAATTTTATTTATTTTGGGGTTTGAGTCATGCCCCCAGTCCTCTTTTTGCTTTAGTTATTTTTCAAGTAGGGTCTCAAGTTTTTGCCCAGGCTGGCCTCCAAACACAATCCTCCTCCTTAAGCCTCCTACATAGCTTGGATTATATATGCACACCACCATGTCTGGCTGGTTGGTTGAGATAGAGTCTTGCTGACTTTTTGCCAGGGTTGGCCTTGAACTACAGTTCTCCTGATCTTCGTTTTTCAAGGAGCTAGGATTACAGGTGTGAGCCACTGTTCCTGGCCACCTTATTCTTAGCAGTTTATCCTTAGGACAGGCCACTAATGGCCTACTAAGGTACTGTCTTTAAAAGGAAACATTTATTTGGATTTATTTATGGATCCATTCAACATTCCCCAAACATTTCTTGGATGAAGAGCCCTATGTTGTGAAAGCCTGTTTTATGCATTCACAGTTCTATGGGGAGATGCATATATACGTCATTACCATTCAGTGTTACAGGTACAGTAATTGAATGAATAATTAAGAAAGTTTCATTTTTTTTTTTTTTAGTCATACTTTCTGTAATTGAATTTTGAGGAAGGGCACCTTTTCTAAAATTAACTTTCTCTTTAAGTTCTCCCAGGCTAGGTACCTAACTTCCCTACCCCATGTCCAGCGAAGATCATTTCCTACCATTTGCTTTTTGGATTCTTAGAAATATTTTATAAATGTGTCTAGTTTGAGATTGGAGCTTTTTAGAACAAAACATTTAGAGATAAATGTGTGAATATGTTTGTATATTGAATGAATGACAAATGAGAATTTATTAAACATGACTTTTTTATGAAGAAGAAAAGATATAATCATTGATTTAATAAAATTCTGTTTATAAAGAAATTAAGATTTAAAAACTGCTGATCAAAATGTTTGAAAAACTGTATCTTTTCTCTGTTTTCTAGGTCTAGAAGGTTGGGAGAAAAGGCTCGTTATATCTGACAGAGCTCACATTGGTATGGAGGACATCCAGTTTATTTAGAACTGTCTTTGTATCAAGTTTGCCAAATGAAATCATTTATCATTAATTTTATGTCTTACTTAATCTAAGGATATGGATTGCAATTGAGTTCCAAATTTGTGAGATCTTCCTGATCTTGGTTTTTAAGGGATTTTTCAGAAGATGGGTTAAGTTTTGCAGGTGGAGGACATCAGCAGTATTTCTTGATACATCTTTAATTCTGTTTTTAAAAGCCATGTGAAAACACAAAGCATTTGTTTGCACATATTAACCCTTGTGTAAGAGCACATCGAAGGCAAATCTTTAGGGAGTCTTTATGCCTGAAATGTAGCAATTACTGCTTTTTATTCAGATTAGCCTTCTCCTTTAGTTGGAGGAAACTGCTTTCTAAACGTAATTCTCAGTGGGGTGTCCTTCCCTGTTGTTACATACAAACATGACGAAGAGACAGTCACCAGGAAAGAGGACGGGGACTGATGCTGTGTTTAAGTATGTGTGTATCCTCAGACGGTAGCCGCTAAGGTTTTAGCAGTGACCTCTGTTTAAAAGGTAGCGCCATCAAAGTTGTGACCTTTCACCCAAGCATAGAAATCAAGTGACAGTATGTCCATATGACAGCCACAGACTTGAATCCTGTGCGTAATTTCAGTAACCTGGTAACATAACTTGTTTGAAGTAAGCTATGCTGAATTAACATTACAGCTTTTTTTTCTTTTTAGTACTGGGACTTGAACTCAGGGTCTTGAACCTGTTAGGTAGACACTCTACTACTTGAGCCATGTCCCCATCCAGCATGCAGTTTTATGTGAGAATGTCTTCATTTTCATTACATTGTTTGCTATGGGATTCTTAATCTGTACGATCTGAAAAGAGTTATCACTGCAAAACGTTTTTGCATCAATGTATTACATGTTCATGAGTGGACTGTTATCCTTTCATTGCTCTCAAGACTTGGGTACCTGTTAGTGTGTCCTGACAGAACATGTAGAATGAATACATTGGTATTTCCTTCTTCATGCAAATGTGTTGAGCCCATCCATCACTTGACAGTTTGCATGCTTGGGTAGGGCAGTGGTATGACTGTTATTGAACTACTTTAGACGGCAAAAATCCTAAGGAAACTAGTAGTGCAAAGCAGTCAGAAGGCCCAGAGGAACAGGAAACTAATGTGGTTTAAACCATAAATGTGAATTCATATTATTGTATTTATAATTTTAGTTCTTTAATAATGATTCTTGCTTTTCCATAAATCCTAGGTCTTTAAAAATATTCCTGGCCGGGCACTGGTGGCTCATGCCCATAATCCTAGCTACTCAGGAGGCAGAGATCGGGAAGATCATGGTTCAAAGCCAGCCCAGGCAAATAGTTTGCGAGACCCTATCTTGAAAACCCATCACGAAAATAGGGCTGGCAGAGTGTCTCAAGGTGTAGGTCCTTAGTTCAAACCCCAGTACTGAAAAAAACCAGTCTTCCTGATGGAGGTTTACTGATCCTGGAGAAGATGAGCTCAGACTGAAGTTTAGCTGTAAGCAGTCATATATATCAGATGAGCCTGTGCTATACACAGCATAGGCTACTGTGAGCAATTCTGCAGTAGTGGACATTAGATAGTGTCATTTAAAAAGTAACTAAGCTGGAGGAGTGGCTCAAGTGGTAGAGCACCTGGCTAGCAAACGTGAGGCCCTGAGTTTAAATCACAGTGCTGCCAGGGGGAAAAAAAAAAGAAATAATGAACTAGAAAAACTGGCCAGGAATCATTGGTGTAAAACCATTTCAAGGACTCTCCCTCATGTCCTGGGACTAAAACAAGTTCTCTTGGCCCTGTTACAAATTGTTTCCAAAGACTTGAAATTTTTCCCATGGTGCATGAGATGAAATCTGGGTCAAGTGTTTATATAGGTGAGAGTGGAGCACAGTGTAAGAGCAGTCACTAAACTTTTGGACCCAGGTCTTGACTGTGTGTCCTGACAAGTTACTTCCAGGCATTGGTTCCCCATCAGTAAAATGCAAGGCTGTGACTGGGGAAAGAAGGACATTTATTGTGTTCATATTTACACTTGGCAGCTATCTCAGGCATCCTCCCCTACTTGGTCAAGGTGTTCTGTTTTTTATCCTGAGGGATAGTTTTAATGCTTCCTATATTTCTAGAAGAGTGTGTATTGTCCCTGTCAGTTTTGGAGTTGTCAGTGATATCGCTTATTCACTCCTGGAATTAATAAACTGCATCTTCTCCCTGTTTATCTTGGTCATTCTGATGCAAGTCTTTTCCATTATATTGGCTTGGTGGTTTTTCTTCCCAGAGATAAAGTTGCTTTTTCTCTATTTGTTTTCTATTTTGTTGGTTTTGGCTCTTTTCCATTCTTTGGTTTTAATTTGCTCTTTTTCTAGCTGCTTTAGAAGTTTAGGTCATTGGCCTTTTGCATGTCCATCACTATTCAGTTCAAAATGACTTGGGATTTCTTTGTGATTATCATTTTGACCCATAAGTTACGAGTATGATTTAGATATTGGAGAATTTTCCTGATTTCTTGCTTCTTTCTTTCTTTTTTTTAGCGGTACTGGGGTTTGAACTCACGGCCTACACCTTGAGCCACTGCACCAGCTCTTTTTTGTGATGGGTTTTTTTGAGAGGGAATCTCACTAGTTGTTTGCCCAGGCTGGCTTTGAACCACGATCCTCCTGATCTCTGCCTCCCGGGTAGCTAGGATTCAGGCGTGAGCCACAGGTGCCCGGCTGGCTTATTTATTTCTTACACAATTTTTTTGTGGGCAGAGAAATACTCTGTATGATCCTAGTCTTTTAAAATCTGGTAAGAGGTGGATTTTTTTTTTTTTCCTCAGGAACTCATGTTGGCTAGGCAGGTGCTCTACTGCTTGAGCCATGTCCCCATGCCTTTTTTTTTTCCGTTAGCTATTTTTGCCCACAGTAGTTTTCTTTTCTTTCTGTTTGTCTTCTTTTCTTTTTCCTCCTATCTTAACCACCATCTGATAGCTACACTGTTATTTTATAAATTTAGTTGATGCCCTCAAATGGTGTGCCACTGTTAAGCTTCTTACAGTAGCATACTTCCAGTTCCCTGTTTTTGGGGTGGCAGTAACAGGTTTTGAACTCAGAGCCTCGTGTGTGCTTGCTGAGCAGGTGCTCTACCACATGAGCCACGCCCTGACCCCAGTGTTTAAGCAACATATGTAAGGATTTATACATTATTCTTCTGCTGTGTCCACTGACCCTCCCAGTGTGATTGATAATGTGAGGGATTTACTGAGGGACTTGACCTGTGAAATGGTGAAGTCCTTTTCTTCTTCTGTTGAATGGCTACTGTGCCATGTGGGTGCTGGGCACTGAAGGTTCAGGAGAAAAGATCCCTTAATGGAGCCTCTGATGTAGTAGTGAGCATAGCAGTGAGTGAGATGAGCACATAACAGATGTGGTGTGGCCTAGGGTGGTCAGAGAAGGGAGCCCCAGCTAGGGTCCGATAGTTTGGAGGAGGTGGGTTTCAGATAAAGTGGCCGGGAGTCTTCATGAAGAAGCAACATTTCAGTAAAGCAGCACAGAGGGAGGTGTGAGAAAACAAGCCAAGGCTTACACTGAATGCATTATAACATTAGTGTGTTAATAGCACGTCACTATATGCCTGTTGCTTAGAGGTCAAGTGTGTGCTTAGCATGCATGAGGCCCTGGGTTTAATCCCACAGCCCCTTAGAAAGTTCCCAAATTAAACTATGTTGTCATTATTTAAATAATAACTACTAAAAGTTGCGGTTACCTTTAATTGTAAAAATTAGACCGACTTCCAAAGGTGACTTTTATTTTTTTTTCCAGTGTCTAGGCTGTAGAAAATGGAAGCATTATTCAAAGCAACTGTGAAGGCATTCTTTCACAACAGTAATTGTAGGGCTGGGGATGGAGCTTAGCGGTGGGGTGCTTATCTGGCATGTGAGGCCCTTGGTTCGATCCCCAGCACTGTAAAAAAATCAAAACAGTAATTGTGAGTCATTAGGGCTCCATACCACCATGAAGCCTTATGAAAGTAATTATTCTGATTACACTAATAGTTTCCTGGGGCCTAGGAAAATATTAGGTTTAGGTCATGGTGCTAAATTAATTTTTGAAAATACAATTCATCTGCTTCCCATCAACCATTTATTTGTGGTTTTCTGGTTGCCTTTCTAACTTCTTTGACAATAGAAAAATATTTAAATGCTTTTTTCATTCAAAAGTGATACAGCATACTCCAACATCTCAGCCTTGTCACTACTGATTTGGAAAGTTAGGATTTAATGAAAACAACTCTTAAGAACAGTTCTGACCCCTCAGTAAATAAAAAAGACTGTTGTCTGGACAACAAGGTAGGAATATGAATGATAAAGTAATCCTTATAGCATATGGTAGCAATTTATTGGGCAAGTCCGGAATTCACATGTAGAAATAAGTCAGTACTTTGAAGTACAACATAATACAGTAGTGTCTCAAAAACAAGGGACTAGGGGAGAGTGCTTTTTACATGGCTTCAGGGGCAGGGGTTAGAGCACCAGGTTTTGTGGAACTTTTTAGTTTCACTGTCTGTAATTGTAATGTTAGCCTTCTAGTACTTCTCAACAGCTGTTTTTACAAGTGCTACCACTAATTCCAAGACCCTTGCATTAGTTGTTCTGTTTAACACCTATGCATTTTTTTTAACTTATGTGGAAACAGTAACTTCATTGGTGAATAGAAACCATAGTTAAATTTACAAAAAAATCATTGAGTTGTACACTTAAAATGGGTGAGTTTTGTAGTCTGTAAATTATATTCCCATAAGTTGTTTAAAAACAAACTATAAAAAAGAAACCATGGTTATAAGTTCAGAGACCAAATAATTCTAGACTTACCTCATCTATAAACTAGATGTTTATTCAGTTGGTAAATATTTGAGAACTTACTGGCACAGGAAATTAACTATTGAACTAAACTGATGTCATCCTAATACTCAGAGAGTTGGTAGGAGGGAGGGGAAAAAGGGAGAGAGAGAGAGAGAGAACATGAGTAGGGAGGAAAAGAGAATGTGAGCGCTGTGCCATGGGTGCAGAAAGGCTCACTGGGCACAGGAGAAGCACACATCTGTGGTCAAGGACCACAGAGAGTGCCAGTGTGACAGAGCAGAGGTGGCAGAGCCTGCTGTAGGATGCGAGTGTAAACTGCTCAAGGAGACCACATACAAGTTCTGTCTTTCCTTTAGAGCAGTGGGAAGCCATAGTTTTAAGATAAGGGTGTGATGGTGGTTTTGAGATGTCAAGAGTGGAAAGAGGCATATAACATAGGCTGTGGCTTTGGTGAGCAAGGATAGAAACTTGGAACTAAGGAGGAAGTCAGGATGTCAAAGTGACCCCTAAGATTTCTGGAGTCCAGAACGTGAAGATAATGGTTATATTTGTAACCTGAGCTTTATTCAGTTTTAGAGTAGGGTGTTCCAAAATTAGACTCATTTTTAAAATAACAGGCTGCAGTTCATTGGAAAGATGAAGCATATTTTCATATTAATGAACCAATTGGCAGTATAATCTTCACTCCTGCCATTATCACTGTTAAAAATTTACCTGTATAATTTGCTGTAATGAAATGAGACTGAAAGGATTTATAATGTCTGTGATTTGAAACGCAGTATGTTTTATTGAGTATATTGTCTTCATTTTAAGAACAACTGGTTCTGTTTGTTTCCCTCAGTCTTTGATTTCCATCAAGCAGCTGACGGCATCCAGGAACAGCAGAGACAGGAGCAAGCAGGAAAAAAGTATGACTTTTTCTTTTTGGTACAGTTTAAGCACATCTAGATCCTTATGTATAAAATCTCTAGCCCATAGGTTTAAAAAAAAATAGAATATCTTGTTTAGATCAGAGAAAATCAGTAAGACTATGCAAATAAGTTTGCAGGAAATAGCATAATAGGAAATGGTCATAAGGAACTTCATTCTTTGTACTGATTTGACCGTAAGACCCACATCTTTCTCCAGTAACTCAAAGCTCGTTTCGATTTGTTTTTAAGTTTGGGTACCACAAAAAAGGGCATTGGCCCCGTTTATTCTTCCAAAGCTGCTCGGAGTGGACTTCGGATGTGTGATCTCGTTTCTGACTTTGATGGCTTCTCTGAGAGGTAACTAACTTGTTTTTCAAAAATTTTTTTTAAAAATGGATTTTTCAAATTTTCAAACTCAGAGTGCAAAATGATAGAATCAGTATAGTGATGGCTGCTTTTAAAATCACTAGTTGAGCCAGGTGCCAGTGGCTCATGCCTATAATCCTAACTACTTAACAGGCAGCTATCAGGAGGATTGTGGTTGGAAGCCAGCCTAGGCAAATAGTTCGTGAGATCCTATCTTGAAAATACCCAATGCAAACACCAGGGCTGACAGTGTGGCTCAAATGGTAGAGCCTGCCAAGCAAGTGTGAGGCCCTGAGTTCAAACCCCAGTACCACCAAAGGGAAAAAAAGTACTGTTTGAGTTCAAATCCTAGTACTGCCACAAAAAATTGAAATGCTAAATAATTTTCATTGAAATCCAGTTGGTCCTTAATTTCAAGTTTGCCTCATGAAAAATAAGCAGTAATACAAATAGTTTCTCAAGAAGACAAAGCCATCTTGTTCTTTAAGGACTGGAATGTGAAATGGTTTGCTGAGAAATGGAATATTTCTGTGTTGAGGGGGGTGGTAGCAGTACTTTGGTGTGGCCACCACAAAATAATTGACCTCTAAGCTCCTGGTAAATTACTCAAGCACACCTTGAAAAATAGAAATGCCACATTAATGCATATGCACTACAGAAGAATCTCCGTGAGAAACATGCCATCGAAAGCTGTAGTGGGGCTGGGATGTAGCTCGGTGGTACAGCGCTTGCCTAGCATGCGTGAGGCCCTGCGTTCGATCCCAGCACCAAAAAAGAAAAGACCAAAAAAAAAAAAAAAAAAAAAGAAAGCTGTAGTGACTCTTCAGTGACAAGTGGCATCAAGGCTATAATGCGTGCTGTGTCCCTTTCTGTCCAGCATGTATTTGTTTGCGCTGGAGAATCCGAGAGGCAGATTGCTCACGTCTGCGCGTCTCTTTTACATCCTGTAGACCGTTCACACAGTGTAATCCAGCTCAGATTTACACATTTCAGCCATTCTGTCCTCCTTCCCTCCTACACTCATCACCCTAAGCATATTTAGTCCCGCACTTACAAAAAAATGAGTGTAGCATTTATTCATAATGGCTGATGTCCTTTACTAAGTTTTCTTTCTGAAAAACTCACCAGTGTCAGGACTGATTTGCTACTAAGACCCCTTGTAATCTACAGAAATCATTTGACCTGAATGTTATTATTTGATGTATTTTTAAGAGAGCCAATGTTGTGATTTATCTGTATTTCTCAGGTTCAAAGTTCTAGCTAATCAGTACAAATCAATATACCCTACTTTGGAAGTAAACATTGAAGGTGAATTACAGAAACTCAAGGTAATGCTTTCTGTGCTCTTTAATACCCTTTAAAAAACTAGTTTGCCAGGACTGGAGGTGTGGCTCAAATGGTAGAGTGCCTGCTTGGCAAGCATGAAGCCCTGAGTTCAAACCCCAGTCCCACCAAAACCAAAAAACACTTGTTTGCCAAATTGACTTGTAGATCTTTCATTCATTCTAGTTTTGTATAAAAATTGGTAAAAGAAATTTAACAGTTATTCCTGGACATGGCATGTTTGAGTGACCTCACACCATATGGCTTAGACAAAATATTAAATGCAGAGCAAGAATAATACGTGAAAGCAAAATTAAAGGGACCAGGCCATACAGCTTATATATGGAATTTAGCTTTTATTCTGGAGATGATGAAAAGCTGTTGGATAATTTTGAGCAGAAAGAAGCCTAGGTTTGCATTATATAGAAACCTCTGAAAGCTACTAGAGTATAGGTCAGCAGAGGGACAAGAATGGGATAACTTTAAAAAGTCAGAAATGAGAAAGACCTCCAAGAAACATTCTAGATGTTAGCTACTAGAATTTCAGTGTTTTGATTCTTGCTTAGACTAGACTACCGGTTTTTGTTCTGCTATGCAATAAGCATTTTAAAATTTATTACCAGCAACTTGGAAATATTCCTGTGCCAGAGCATGGGTGTGACTTGTCAGTTCTGTTTACCAGGGTTCCACATGAATGTGAAATGGGTGAAGAATAGTAAACAGAGCTAGGTAAGAAGATTCTCACGGGTGATAAGTGAAGAACCAGGAGCAAGGGAGGTGACATAGTTTTCATTGTAGCCATGCAAAAAGGACTGCAGTAGGAATAAGCAAAAGATTGGAGACTAGAGGCAGGGAGGGGCCATCCATTGATCTGCGGGTACACGGCACTCAGATAGGGTGAGGAGATTGAGGGACTTCCATAGGTGGAACTAGGTTTTACTGCAGTTGTACTGTATCCCTTAGAGAAAGAAGCTCTTGTGTATGTTACGTTTTTACTTGAATTCTAGATTACACACTGTTATCAGCACTTAATGTAGTCTGAGAATTTTTTTATGTTCACGTGGAGACGCTTTGTAGTAATGGCGTGTGTGCAGTGGCAAGGATGGAAGCGGGAAGTCACCAGCTCTGGCATGCGGGCAGTACACCTCGTGGCCCTCCGCACATGCGGGTGATTGCAAACTTCAGAGTTCTTGGATGCATGGATTAGATATGCAGCTTTTCAATACCTCACAAAATTTTAAAGCGCCATGTAATAATAAATAGTCACTTCTTTTTATTTTTCCCGCAAGCTGGTTTATGAAGTGTGGAAGGCTTTCATCACCATTTGCAATAAGGTTAATAGAGACTCCCTGCTGCTGAGCCGCAGCCCAGCCCTGGTATCTCTGTTGTTGTTCTGGACCTAATGTCTCTTTGTGGTTCTGGAGAATTAGCATGAAAGACCAAAGCTAACCCAAACGTTGCAGTAGAATGACCCTATCACCAGCTCCTTTCTACTTTGCATTGGTCACTTTTCACTATCATACAGTCAGGTAACTTATACGTGTACTGGTTATATTGCAAATGTATTGGTGTACATGGAAACTGGTTTTTGTCTTTGTGCATAGGGTTATATGGAAAAGATTAAACCAATGGTGAGAGATGGAGTTTATTTCCTAAATGAGGCCCTACATGGACCACCAAAGAAAATCTTGGTAGAAGGTGCAAATGCAGCATTATTAGATATTGACTTTGGTAAGTGAGCTATGACCCCTAGGGAGCCTGACTGAGCCTGAAGTACTTAAGCCACAAATAACCAATGCCAGCACAGAGGAGCTTTAAAATGATGTCTTTAGCTGATGCTTTCAGGAATGACGATAGACATTTATCATCTTATGCCAAGGTTTTTTTAAAGGATTATTGTGGAGAACAATAACTGTGTTAAGTTTTGTACTTCATAAAAAAAAGAAATAATTTAAATTCAGTGGGCTTGGGGTTCTTAAATTGTGAATTTCATTAGTTGGTTTGTGATTTAATTCAAGGCCTCATTTCTCTGGATCTGGGAGATGATAAGATGAATTCTATGAAAATCTTCATCTTTAACCTTTCTTTGCAAAAATACACATATGATTCAACATGAGTATTCTAAGATCTGTATACTAACTTCCTGTCCCTGAGCATGTGACTTTCTGGGTAGGCTCAGAAGATCTCCTCCATCCTTAAAGGTCAGTGCTTTACTGACCACCTTAGTTTGCTGGTGGCTACATTGTTGGTAGTTACACTAAACATAATCTCTCACGGTTATTCTAATTGTTCTCAGCTCTTGCTGATATTTCATTGACTTTTGACTATTGTAAACCAAAGTGTATTTTTGTTTATAATAGATATGTGGTCTTGATACCATAGTATGCCTCGCCAATCTGGAAAGAAAACAGAGTATCTAACTAGCAGAGTGAGCAGTTAGGAATAAAGGGGAGGAAAAAGTATCCCACTCTTAATTGTTCTTTAATTTGGGGGTTATTCCCTCAGTAGAGATCAAAATCTAGAGAAATACTGAAAACTGCAAAATTTTTGGATGTTCACATCACTTCAGGTTGCTGCTGCACCTTCAGTACTCACATCAGGGAATCACATTGGGTTGAAATTAATGGAAGTTTGTTAACATACGTAGATGGGTTTCTGCATTAAGTTCCTCGCTGCCTATTGAGTGAGTACCCACCATAGAGCTGAGGTAAAGCATGTGCTCAGGGTACCTCTCCAGTGGAAGCAGCCCAGCCAGAGCTCTGGCCACCTACATTCTAGTCCCATTGCAAAGAGAATCAAGACTAAAATATTGAGGCTTTGAGAGGGCAGTGACAGTTATGGTCAAGTCTGTCAGATACCTAGCGACACTCAAATGCACTATTTTAATGGTAATTCTATTTTAAAGTCTATATGAAGATGTGCTTATCTTAATGTTTGTTTCTATTTTTAGGGACTTACCCATTTGTAACCTCTTCAAACTGTACTGTTGGAGGTGTTTGTACAGGTTTGGGCATGCCTCCTCAAAATGTTGGAGAAGTGTATGGAGTTGTGAAAGCTTATACCACTAGAGTTGGTATTGGTGCCTTTCCTACAGAGCAAGACAATGTAAGCCTATTTCTCAATAAAACCAACATTAAAAGTATAAAAAAAATGTAGTGCCCTTCCACGCCCTTTAATGAATTCTGGTCCCCTGTGTCTTTCACTTCATTTGCCAGGATCCGTTAGATGTGTTTGCCTTATAAGTTTCAGGAAACACATCAACCTATAATTACTGAATTTGCTGATATCATCTATTTTAATAAATATTAGTGACGTGTGTTAGTCAACTTTTCCACTGCTGTGACAAATTATTTGAGAAAACAAAAGGAGGAAAGATTTATTTTGGCTCATGGTTTCAGAGGTTTTAATCCATGGTTGCCTGGCTCCCTGTTCCTGGGCCTATGACAAGGCAGTGTGTCATGGCAGAAGGACATGGTGGGAAAGCTGCTTCCTCATGGCAGCCAGGAAGCAGAAAGGGATAATGTGAGAGGAAGGGTCCAGGGGTTAGATACACTTTCTAAAAGCACACCTCCCAGGGACCTACTTCCTCCAACCAGCCCCCACCTCCTGATAGCCCAGTCAGCTGTGAGTTCATCACTGGTTGAATTCATTGATGTTAGTGCCCCATCACCTCTCAGCAGCACCACCAGCTGGGCATCAAGCCTTCAGTACACTTCATATCCAAACCATAGCAGCTTCTTTGTAGGCAGCATTCAGTTGGGTTTTTAAATCTGTCAGTCTACACTTCAGGAAACTACCTAGATTGAACATTGTAAAAATACTGGTATAAAAAACAAATGCAGCCCAAAGTGGATCCGTTTTGCCTCCCACAGATAGAAATCTGTCATATCCATGGAATTCTTCCTTTGGCAAAGTTATTTTCTGAAAGATATTTATCCAAAGAGGCTTTGGCTTAGTGTATAATGTATAATAAAATTCCACTAGATTTATAGCATTAGAATTCTAATTCATAAGTTCTGTTTTCTGTTGTCTAGGAAATTGGAGAACTATTACAAACAAGGGGTAGAGAATTTGGTGTAACTACTGGAAGGAAAAGAAGGTGTGGCTGGTTGGATCTTGTTTCACTCAAATATGCTCATATGATCAATGGATTTACTGCGTGAGTATTCTTCACAAACAAAATTATTTCAGGAACTCACAGGACAGTTGAAGACCACAGGTTTAATTTCATGGAGTAAAACCTTAAAGTAGAACCCTAGGAGAAAATTGAAATTGTAGTTACAAGTAGAACTAGATCAAGGTACAGATGAAGGGTTCACAAGAAGGACCCTAACTTACCTTCCTAGTTGTCTTTCCAAGGTCAAGGGAAAAGTATCCTGACAGTTTGCAGAGTAAGTACGGAAGATGGCAGGATAGGTAGGCAGGCAGGTCGGTGGATGTATGGATGGGTAGCGAGCACACTGTGTGCAGAGGGAGGCATGCTCACTCAGTGCACCAACTTAACATCTCACTTCTTGGATTCACATCTCAGATCTGTGCATTATGCTGCATTATGACTGGGTGAGTTAATCTTTCTGCGCCTGTTTCATCCTCTTTGAAGTGAAGATAATGATACTGTCGACGTCATAGGGCTGTTTTGAAGATGAGGTGAGGAATGTAGTGAGAGCATAGAGCACACTGCCTGGCTCACTCAACCAGTGAAAGTGATTGCCACTAATACATTAATATGTAAATAAGTGTCTTCCTCTCTCTATTCATTAGGCTAAGCTTATAGCAAATAAAGGATTTTAATAAAAAACTTGTGGACGAGAATTCCAAACCTAGTATTTTATTTAATTTCCACAAACTTTCCCCCATAAAACTTACTTTCTAATGAGCTTTTGGGGAAATTTTGATGTATTATAAAGAGATCCGTGATGTATAGTTTCCTCACGCTGACAGTTTCTGCTCAGAAGAGTGGAGGTGACGGTAACCAGAGTGAAGAAGTGAGGGCTGTGATCATCCCCGTGAAACAGTGAGCTCTGTATCCCACGGCTCAGTCACAGTGTGCCCTTAACCACGCTCTGCCACCTTCCCACAACTCAGGGTTGTGGATTGGCCGTAGAACGCTGAGCAAGAGTGTGGAGCCACGAATGAAAGAAAGCCTGTTGTAGTTGCTAGAGAGCATAACAGAAGAACAAACGTCAATATGTTTTCTGGAGTTTCGTGTGTGGCACATTCTAAAATATAATCCTAACCAGTTTTCAGAATTGCTTTGGAACTTTGACCTTTGCATGAATTTTCCTTTATTTCCACATCAGTCAGATTGTATAGATGTTAAGAGTTCCCTGTTTTAACATTGCCTTTTCCTCCAAAATTAGGTTGGCCCTTACCAAATTGGATATTTTGGACATGTTTACAGAAATTAAAGTTGGAGTTGCTTACAAATTAGATGGTGAAGTCATACCTCATTTCCCAGGTACTCTTTTTTTGGGGGGGCTGTGTCTAGAGTTTTACAAGATGGATGTATTAGGACAGTTTGATAAAGCTCTTGTACGTAATTTACGACATTGCCACAGCCTTGACTTGCTACTTGCACTTTTATTAACAGTGCATGTACGTCCACTTGTTAGCGTTTGGTTCATAACTATTATCCATCTGGGTGCTGGTCACATCAAAAAGAAGAATCACAGCAGTGCTGCCGCTGAGTCTTCTCTTCCCTGTTTTGATGATAACTTCCATACACAAGGCAGGTGTTGTGGCAAATGCCTGTAGTCCTGGCTACTTGGGAGATTGAGGCAGGAGAATTATTTGAGCCCAGGAGTTCAGGGCCGGCCTGGGCAGCACAGCAACGAGGAGAAAACAGCTTAATGGAGGGAGCAGCAGGCTTAAGAGAAAAACCCTTGCTTATTGTGGCGGGCTGTCTCTCAGCATTAATGCACACTGTCTGTCAAGTCCTGCACATGGTTTTCTCTGCCCTCTTTTCTGTGTCTGAAGTATGGATGTGGAGACATTTTATCCTTTAGGCAGTTGGCTTTTTTGCGGGCGCTGAGGGGGCCGGACTGGGGCTTGAACTCACGGCCTCTACCATCTGAGCCATGCCCTTATCCATTTTTGCTTTAGGCCTGGTCAGCTGGACCATTATTCTCTTTTCTGCTTCCTGAGTAGCTGATTGACAGGGACGTGGTGCCACGCCCAGCTTTTACTAGTTGAGATGGGGCGTTGTGAACTGTGTGCCCAGCTGGCCTTGAACCTTGATCTTCCTGAGCTCTGTCTCCTGAGTAGCTAGGATTATAGGTGTGAGCCACCAGGCCCAGCTAGAAATGTGTTTTTTGAGGCATATCTTTAGTCACAGGGTTTCTTTGGTTACTCGGAGAATGTCATAAATGTTTCCAGATTCCAGAAATAGAGATTGTTGATTTTTTATTTAGGTGTCCAATAAGACTGGGCATGTGGCAGTTGAAGGAGCATTGGCTAGCTTAATGAAACTTGGTAGTCTGGTATGTTTTATGACATCCTAGACTATAAGTCCTTAGAAGAGAAATATGTATTGTTTTTCTGTTTCACTTACAGAGAAAAAGTATCTATTGACATTGTAGACTATTACTCACTTGAAAAACTGGTTGTTTGAATAAGTGTAGTAAACATATTCTGGTTGATAATGCTACTTAAGAGTTACTTAAACACTGAAGCACTAATCAAATACAGTGACACATGGAAGGATCTTCTATAGGGAACAGTACAGCAAATTCCTTTAAATAAAATATTAAAAACTACAAAACAGATAACACTTGTCAATTTTATGAAGTTTTTGTTTGTTTTAAAGCTGAGTTAGCTGGCTAGGTTCCTTCAGAAACACTGAGGTAGAGATTTGCATCTATATTGGAGAATGTTTTCAGCAACATCACCTATGTAGGGAGCAAAAGAAGTAGTTAGTGCAATCAATCCAAGAGAAGCTGGGGAACTAGGGTAGTCCTTTCCAATTGTCCTAAATTGTAGCAAGTTCCCAGAACTTTGTGCCAGTAAGTGAGGGCTGCCCTTGGGTGCAGTAGCTCCCTTTGTCCAAGGACAGTTCCTGGTCGGGGACTGAGCTGTGAATCCTTGGCTTGCAGCATTCCCTCCTAACAACAGGACACCATACCGCAATATGGTCTACTCTTGGGCTAGTTAGATTTATTTACACTGAGAATAGTTCCTTCAGGTTTCTGATAAGTTTCTTTCCTAAGTAACCTTTCTTACAAGAGGAAGGTTAGCAATGTAACTTGTTCTCTACTGGGCTATTTCAGTGGGAAGCATGAGTTCCATTTATCTTTAAGAAAGGCAAGGAAAGTTACCACTGGAAGAAGTAATGGCTGATAGTCAAGAATGGGTAGGGCTGTTGTGGGAAAGGATAGGTGTGGCATTGAGTGATACTTGGGTGTCCTTTGACATTCCTTAGCCCTTCACTGGCACTAAAAGTTGAACTAATGGGCCAAGGTTGAGAAAGTACATAGTGAGCAGACTCAGACCCCCTCAGGAAGTAGATCTGGAGCTCAGTTGATAATTATCACCCTCTCTACTACTGATTCTTGAATCCCCCACCCTCAGCTAACACATGTACTGGTGTAGGGGGTTTACATAAATGCTTTAATTTTTCCCCATAATAGGTCAAAGAACCAATATGGGGGTTCTGGTAAACCAAGTATATTTGTTCCAATTTTTTGTTTGGAAACTAGAAAAAATGACCAGTGGGTGAATCTGCGAACCCAGTAAAGTCACAGTGGGCTGGACTTAGGCTAAGATACCCTTTATAATCTGGTCCCGCTATTAACAGGGGTGCCATGATATCAGCATCAACTTGAATCTTGTATCTAACAGTCCCCAGAATGACTAGGTATTCCCCTTTCCTCAGTGTATGGAGGAGTAGCACTACTATCTACTGGTTGTTACGTTGCAGTCTAGCCTTATAGGGGATTAGCCTCCTAGATAGACATTGATGTCCAGTTGGGAAAACTAGTACAGATTTAGAAGTTAGTCAAGTGGTCATTGTTTTTTGTTGGGACACTGACCCCAGCCCTTTAATAATCTGTTCTTTACTTCTTTTTCTTTTTTCGGCAGTTCTGGGGTTTGAACTCAGGGCCTCAGCACTTGCTAGGCAGGTGCCACTCTGCCAGTCCTGTTTTTGGGTTAGGTATTTTCAAGATGGGGTCTCTCATACTATTTCCCTGGGACTGGCTTTGAACCACGATCTTCTTGATCGCTACCTCCTGAGTAGCAAGGATCACAGGCATGAGCCGCAAGTACCTGGCTTTGACTTCATTTTCAAAGTAAAATTTCTTTTCTAGACTACTAACTTGTTGACTGGTTCTTTCTCTGATGGCAGATAATCTTAGCTACCATGCTCACTGTTACTCATGGTAGTTCTTAAACCCACCTGCTTCTGAAGGGTAGCTGCCCCTGTCGCGCAGTCTTTGGGGAATTGTGTCATCTCTGTTGCTGTCAGGGTTGGAGTCTTGTGGTGCATCTCCTTCCATTGGCCATGTGCTTTAGAGCAAAGTCAAAACCGAGCTGTTTAACAGTACTGATGCCCTTCTCACCACTCACTCACTTTGAACTCAGTGCTTTGCACTTGCTAAGCAGGGGCTCCACTGCTTGAGCCATGTCTCCAGCCCCTTTTTCTTTGGTTACTATGGAGATAGGTTTTCACTTTTTGCCTGGGCTGGCCTAGAACTGCCATCCTCACAATCTTAGTCTCCTAAGTAGCTAGGACTATAGGCGTGAGCCATTGGTACCTGGCCCTTAATCTTTCTTAATGACTGAGTTTTCTTAATTTATATTAGTGACTTTCTTTTCCTTTTAGTCTGATATCTGGACCATCTTGAGTCCTGTTTCTCTTGACTGTTCTATTCCTTAGTTGTGAATCACTGTTTCTGTGCATAATGACTTTGGTTGACTATTGGACATTGTGGATAATTTATTGTAGAAACTGAGATTCCTCAAGAGTATTGATTTCTTATTTTATGGGACCATCAAATTGAGACTAATCCTTCTGAACTTGTATAACTTGGTTTTATGTTTTGTTGATGTACTTATAGAAAACCCAAGATATTCTCCAAAAATCTCTGACTTGGTAAGAGTCAGTCTCCAAATTCTGTCTCCTCTGTGGACCTTGGCAGAGCTTTGTGTTAGACTGCATTGTGGGGGTGTCTGTAGTAGGTTTTACTCGAGGGTGTGGTTTTATTCTTAAGGAACAGCCTTTCTGGTGTCTTAGCTGGATGCCAAGAGAGTTCCCAAAGTAAAATAATGAGATCTTGCCAAAGTCCAGGAGTGCTGGAGCTCCTGTGAACCTGTCCTTTCCACCCTTGACCTCTGGAGTGTTGGTCCTGCCCATCACATACAAGTTCAGCTTTAGCCATGGTGTTTGTTCTTGGACTTCTGGGTTGGCTGTCTCTACAGCTCCCTCTCTGCTGCCTGGACCTGCTGATTCTAGCTGCTTCTGCTTCTCTAAAATCTGGTATTTACCTCCTGAGGTTAGTGGAGCTGCCATTTTCTGCTGATGCCATTGTCCTAAACTTTGGTCAGGAAATTTCCCCAAGGCAAAGAATTGAATGGTTTCAAGGACTTGCTTGTAAATTTCCTTTCTGTCTCTCAAGAAATGCAGTTTTGTTTGGCCTATTGTCTGGCATCCTAATAAGAGCTGTCATATTTTGAGAGCTAGTGTGGAACAGTGTATTTCATCACTGCTAGAAATGGAAGCACCAGTGAGTTTCTTACTTCCCTGTACTGTCTGCCACAGCAGCTCTGACATAACCACTTGGTCTGGGTATCACTTTCTTTCACCTTCCTAGCATGCTCCTAGCAGTATGTTGATATAGGAGCATCTCCCTCCCATTCCAGTATGCTCTCTTACTTAACTTTGGGCTGCTCCTCTTCATGAACGTGTGCCCGCAGGGCTTAGTTCCATACATACTCTTGGTGCTTACTGGTAATGTTGGCTAGGTGCTGCAGACCTTGTGGATCTGGTCCCTTTCCTCTCAAGTACTTAATTAACCAGATTGTGTTTGGACTTGGCCCTTAGGCACTGTGTAATGAAGAGGGAAAGAAAAGGTAGATACAAGACAGGCCGGTGCTGCCCTGTGAGGTAGAGGCCTTTGCGTCATCTTTAAGCAGGGGGAGTCATAGCATTAATCAGCAGGAAGCAGTGGGACATTCTATAGCCCCTGAGTTTCAACTGTGTCAACATAGGTGTCCCAGCCAATGTCTCAGGGTCAGTCCCATTTTCCCAAGTAGGTCTCTGATCTTGTCATAGCAGATTTGCAAATCCAGCACTCTCTGGAGTTCTCCTGTGCCATTGACTCCTGAACCCAATCCTTGCGTTTTTCTTCTCTCTGCTATGAGATGAGATTCTCTCTAGATGATGCCAGGAAAGGCCTCTGACTTTCACATTCTGCTGTAAACCAGTGGCAGACCCTCAGTCTTTCATTGTCTTTCTCCACTTCATGACGGCGCTCATCAGGAGCCATCTAGTCCCACTGTCCACTGTGCCCAGTTCTCCGTGTCTCAAGTACTGCCATATTGCCAGTGATTCACTCTAGCATGGCTGCCAGTTCACCTCCCAGGAAGGCTTTACAGCTGTTCTCCAGCAACTCTGCCTACCACCCGTGATGGTCATCCCTGCCAGCCAGCTGGCCAGTGATCCAGCTCTGAGTTCTTATTTTAGAGCTGCCTTCTCAAACTTGGCACCAGCTGTCTTAGATGGAGTTTCCTAGGAAACAGACTGCTATAGAGATTTGCACATTGGTTCTTAGGAGCTCTGAGCAGTGACATCTGTGAGAAGCAGATGAGGCAGAGAGAGAAGTTGAACTGCAATGTAATTGCATAAAAGGCCCTCTGCTGATCCCTTTGGGAGTTCTGGAGCTAGAATGGCCCTGCAGGGTTGTCCCAAGTTAAAGTAAATGACCAAGTCCTCTGTACTCCCACACTGACAGGCATCGGCTCCCTTGAGTGGGGGGCAAGTCCTACGGAGGCTCTGAAGTGAAGCTCTTGCCCTGCCGTTGATGGTGCCTGTTCAGATTCCAGCAGGGGTGCAGAGAAAATCACCAGGTGGAATAATTAAGAATATCTCAGTGCAAACAGCAGACTTCTCAGAAGGTTGCTGTGTATAAGCCTTCTTCTGTGCGGCCACTGTCCTTGCTCAGACTCAGTCAAGAGTGTAGAAACTCAAAATGCTCTAAAAGCAGTTTAAGTTTGGCACCAAAACCTGTCTTGAACTCTGTGGTCTTTCTGTACTTAGAGGGAATAATCACACTTGGCTGCAGAGATGTTTGTTTACAGAATGTTCCCCTAGGTGGTATATGTACTGTTGTTAACTTTCTAAAACATCAGGAATTCTAAATTTTAATTTTGGTAAGTGTGAACTTTGTCAGAAAGTCATTTGTCAATAGGCGGTACATGTCATGAACCTTTTTGCTCCTTAACTTTTAGCAAACCACGATGTCTTAAACAAAGTTGAAGTTCAGTACAAGACTCTCCCAGGATGGACCACAGACATATCAAGTGCAAGGACGTTTAAAGAGCTACCTGTTCATGCACAAAATTACGTGCGCTTTATCGAAGATGAGCTTCAAATTCCGGGTACTCTATCAACAACCATCTTTGCTGCTTCTTTTTTTTTACTCTTCCCACCATTCCCACCCCTTCCTGGTGGTATTGAAGATTGAACAAGGTCTCACGCTTGCTAGGCAGACGTTCTACCACTTGAGCCACTCCTGCAGACCTTCTTTGTCTACTTCTAACTGGCCTTTGAAGTAAAGGCCAAGCTCATTGGGCTGATGGAGTGGCTCCAGTGGTATAGCACTGCCTAGCAAGTGTGAGGCCCTGAGTTCAAAACCCTGTGCTGCAAAAAAAAAACCAAAAACCCAAACATCATTATCAGTTTGTAGAGCTCTCATGATTTCCATGAATGTTCAGGAAAATATAAAGTGATAAGTGATATTTCTTAAAGTAAGTATAATACTCATCTTAAAATAGAATGACTCTGTCTTTAATTCTGTTTTTTATCCTGTGACAATCTTATAATTTCTGCCTCTCAGTAAAAATTCTCTTATGTCTTCACCCTCACCAAAAAATGTCTATTTTTTACATTTATTTATTTACTTACTTATTTTAAGTTACCCACCCTTGAGAGTTGGAGGAGTTTCTTGAAGAGACATTAGGAAGCAATAGGTACAGAAATGAGGGAACATCATTAGGTAAACATGAAGCAAGAATAAAGAACGGACAGGACCTTTTAAGATGGCTAGGGAGTCAGGCATGACAAAGTTATATGAAGTCTTGAGATGGCTTTTTATCCTTTTATTTGCATTGACAGAAGTTTGGAGACTAGAAAAAGCAAAGTAGATACAATCTGTTACATACTTACTCTGAGTCTGTACTGTGGTTCATTTCAAACATGGTTTTTGTTTTCCGTGTTGCAGTGGCCACTCACTCCCAGCTTGATGTCAGATTTAGTAAGCGTATTTACTTTCTGCTCTTAGTCTTTATTTTTTGAAATATGGTAAGTCTAACAAGGACTTCTGTAAAATACCATGAAGGCTCATCCTAACAGTACTCCAGCAATTCTGCAGACAGTATCAGGCAGTGTGGTGCACAGTCAGAGATGCTTCTTATGGTAGGCAGTTCCCATGGCATGAAAGTTAAAATTGTAAGCTCTTCTAAATATTTCTACTTTTTTGAGTTATAAAAGTTATAGTGGCACTTCACTATCTCTTTAGCGTATTCCATTTATCAAAGATGCTTTTCTAGTTATCAAGAGCTTGACCAAGTTTGTTTTTTTTTGGTGGCGGGGGGTGGTTTGGCCGTACTAGATGTTGAACTCAGGGCCTCACACTTGCTGGGCAGGTGCTGTACCACTTAAGTCATTCCCCAGCCCTTGATCAAAAGTTCTTTATGTCTCAGCAGCTTTGGACCACTATTTTGCTTTCTGAGTCATCGGAAATTAAGAAAGTGTAAATATCGTATGGTTAAAATAGAATGGTGAAGCAGGCGGCCCTGTGCTAGATCTTTACTGTGTGTCCTGTTTAGAGAAGGGCACAGTCTGCTAACCAAGATAGAAACAGCAATGGCATGGGGGGAGAGCTAAATGGCAGTAGGGTGCTACCATGTCTTCATCCTATAGCCCAAGCCCACATGAGGGAGCTGCCCTCCTCACGGTGTCTGTTTTGTTTTCCAGTGAAATGGATCGGTGTGGGTAAACCCAGGGAGTCCATGATTCAGCTCTTTTGAGGATTGCCAGTGGCTCAGGAAGCACTCCTAGAGAGACAGGGAGAAGCCTTCCTTAAGTAATTCCTTCATCACCTGCAAGTCCATGAGTAAGGACGTGGAAGTGAGTGTGTCCAGGCTTTCGGAGGACGGCTGCCGTGGACAACTGCCGAGTCATTGTCGCTCCTGCTGCTCTGTCAGTGTGTAGTTATAGGAAGATCCTTGTCACTTTCAATGGCGTTCTCCTCATTCCTGTCATTGTGTGTTTCTTAGTTTTTCCCTGAGTGAACAGTAGTAACAATTAATGCAGTTTTGCACAAATATTTTTACATTCTGATCATTCAGTTTGTTTCTTTTCATAGCCTTTGCTGTTAGAGAAAATGATGGAAAGATAGGGTTCTGTAAACTTTTATGATGCTGTACTTTCTGTTTAAGTTGCAAACTGTTTATTTTCTGCGAGACCATTGTAAAATTGGGCTTTGGAGCAGGAAGGGTTATTCACAGGTCTTTTAATTTGTACAGAACGTACTTCTCTCTGCAAGTTATTTAATACATTCAATGTTCAAAGAGAAAAGATGTTTCCCCAAAACAACAACCTTAATGTTAAAAAAAATTAGTCATTAAAAGGCCTGTTATGATATTTGGTGGATATTTTTCTTTAGTTCCAGACATTAACTGAAATGTATTATTTTTCCTTTTTTAAAAATCATACATTATTTCTAAGTCCAGTGGACTGCTTTTTCAACATTGTGCCTGCCAGTGTACCTCGGGCACATGCAGTGTCCAGGGAACTCATACTGTTGGCCATAATTTTGACCATGCCTTCGTTTCTCCTTTCTGGGGGGAGAAAAGGTATTATTTCGACAGTTAGGCTTAACATACCGTGTTGCAGATTGTTCTTCCATGAATTGAAATGTTTAAATTAGGTGCCACTTAAATTTATTTTATTATACCATCAATAGCTGATTAAAAAACCAAATATTTCTAGTATGCTTTGTGTATTGGGTTTTTTTTCTGGTAGTAGTTATACCGTTGTAACACTCTACATACTTTATGCTAGTAAAACTAGAATAAAGGAAGACCCTTATCTCTGCAGTGTGTGGGGACAAGGTATGGAGAGGTCAAAACTAAAATCTTTTATCTTCATATATTTTTTATTAATAATTGGTACCTGAGAAGTTCTGAAATAGGAGCAGCTTCATTGGACTCAATAGATATAAACAGAGGTGATCTACAAGCCCACTGCACATCAGCGATGATCTATATGTAAAATAATGTATAGTAAGTTCTGTTTATCATAGTGGAATCAAATATGTTCTTGGCTATAAGCATTGCATTATAGAAAGACTTTCACTAATGGCTCAGAAGCAAATATAAAGAATCCATTTTTCTTTTCAAGTAAGGAATGCTTTCTTCTTTTTTGAGGGGGAGGTTCTAGGATTTGAACTCAGGGCCTCATGCTTGCTAGGCATGCGCTCTACCATTTGTGCCACTCCTCCAGCCCTGAAGTCTCATTGATGTTATTTTACTGATTTTCAACCTCTTTGGATAAGTGTTTGTTTCTCTTTAAAAGTGAGAAGTGAGCTGTTTGTTCATTAGTTGAGAGATAGTGTTTTTCTTTTCTTTTTTTCTTTTATGTAGGAGAAATATACCTCTACAGATTGGCAGCTCTAAGAACTCCTTTATTAATGTGGCATGTTGTGGCAGTGTGTTCTTTGAGATCCTTGATAACTATGAGATTTTTACTGAATCATGTGCGTGGTACATGCCACCTTCTGCCGGGTGTTGGTATACAGTGGTGATACTGAGTGCACAGTCTCTTTGAGATTCATTGTGGGGCAGTGTGTGTGGAGGACACATTTCTGAATGATGTCAGACTGCAGTAGAAAAGTGCAGGGTGCCATGGGCAGGAGCCTGATGGCAACGTGGAAAGGTTTTGGTGGGTGTTCACCAGAAGTGGGGTCATGTGCAAAGGCCCTGGAAAGAATCTGGGAAGTTGGAGCAACTGAACCAAATGAGCAGGGGCTGAGGCTGGCAGCAAATTGAGGGAACACTGAGCCAGACAACCAGAACATGTTTCGTGTGGAAGAGGAGCTCTGTCGGTCAACGTACTACATACTGTGCTGAAGAGACTAACGAAAGCGCTGGAAACTGAACCCAAACGTGAATAAAGTATAAAATTCCGTTGTAGGGAACTAGATAGCAAAATGGTATGTTGATAGGGAGAGCCTATTTAGTGTCAATATTTGGTATTAGTTAATTAATATACTTGAATGATAGTATAAGCTTTTTTTTTTTTTTTTCATGGGACTGGGATTGAACTCAGGGTTTCGTGCTTGCAAAGCAGGCATTCTTCTGTTGTAGCTGTATCTCTGGTTATTTTGGAGATGGGATATTGCGAACTATTTGCCTGGGCTGGCCTTGAACCAGGATCCTTCCAGTCTCAGTCTTCTCAAGCAGCTAGGATTACAGGCATGAGCCACCGTCTCCTAGTGCAAGCATTTCTTAAAGAAATTTTCGAAAAGATAACATGAGTGAGGAGGTTCTCCTTCACCAGACATTAAAAGATTGTAAAACCACTACAACGATATGTATGGGAAAGAACAAATACATAGGGAAAACTTTAACCCGAGAACAGATTTGAAAAGATACTTCAATACATAATTTACAAAGTGCCACAAATAAGAAAATGATAACTAGTAGGGAAATGAGAACATCCTCAGAAAAATGAATATAAATGGCCCCAAACAAAAAGTATCCGTCTTTCCCCATATAGATGGAGTGAGGATTCCCCAGGGAAAGTAACTCCTAAGCGTATTAGCTGGGTGCAGGAGACAGAGGGGAGGAAGGGGGTGTCATGGAGGGGGAACTTGTTCACAGTACACTGTAAGCACCTATGGAGTTGTCACAGTGAAATTCCCTTGTACTATTAATGTATGTGAAGAAAAACAAACTAAAAAAAAAGGCTGAATTCAAAAACTATTTCACTAAAATAAATTTAAGAAAAAAGCAAGTAAAGCCGTGAATAAGGGGGACTAGTGTGGTTATAGTAGGCAGAATTATGACCATGTTGTCTTTATTTGGAGATAAGTATGGTTTAAGGTTGTGTAGAGGAGCTGAGTTGACAAGCAGTGATAATTTTAATGTGTCAACATCCTTTATTTCTGGGTGTATCTGTGCAAGTGTTTGTAGGACTAGCATTTGAATCAATAGACTGAGTAAGGAAGATCACCTCACCCACGCAGGATGAGGCTGCTGAAACCAGAGTAGAACGAAAAGGCAAAAGGGTGAGCTTGGACCAGGACTTAGCCGTTGGCCTGCCAGCAAGTTCTCAGGTCTTTGGGTGGGGACCGGAGCCCACCAGTAGCCTCTGTGGGCCTCCAGCTTGCAGGTGGCAGGTCACAGGGCCACTCAGCTTCCATAATCACGAGAGCCTTTTCCTCCTAAAAAGCCCCCACACAGAAACTCTGTTCTTGGAGGAAGGTTATCAGCTGCTAGGCTTCACTCTGGGGATTGACTAGGGAGCCAACTAACAAGCCAGGGCTTTTGGTGTGTGTATGTGGGGGGGGGGGGTCCCTGGCAGCCAGAAAGTAAGATTGTTTTCTGTGGGATCATTTTATTGCTTTAGAGAAGACCCTGTAGCTCTTTGAGCAGTTCCTACCCAGTACTCAGGCTTTCTTCTCCTTGGGAAAGGGATGTGAACTCCTTCCTATATTGAGACTTCCAGTTCACCCTCCTGGCCAGTCTGCATCTCACTGCCGCTTACTACACCTGGCGTCTACATCCAGAGACCCTCAGTTGTCCCCCAGGTACCTTCTTTCATTTCTTTCTTTTTTCCCAATAATGATACAATTATTGAGCAGATAAAATGACTGTATATTCTTATCTGGTCCCACATACAGCCATTATTCTAAACATAGGCTTGTCAGTATCAGCAACAAGACTTCCTGTTGTGAGGCTAAGAACATGTGACAAGTTCTCTTTTTTTTTTTTTTCAGTGCTGGGCATGGTTCACACTGGGCGAGTGGCCCCTGAACCATCCCCTCGAGCCAGTGACAAGTTTTCTCAAGGCTAGATGGTAATTCCCTGTTCTAGGCTGACCAACTCAACCTGAAAGGAATTTACAACAGGTAAATATGTTAGGATTAGAGCTATCTGTACACACACGTAAACTAAAAGTACTTTTCCCATTTACTCAGTTTGAGAGTCACTAAGAACACAAAAGTTAATTGTCTGAGCACCATGATTGGTTTACTTAAAAAGCATTCCTTCCAAAGCTTCTTCTCTCTTCACCATCCTTGAACTCTGGCAATGAATTGAGTGGTCTAGGATTTGATGAAACCGTGGCTAACTTCTGGTTGTAATCTGGAATTTAAAACAAATTAATGATTTAAGACTACTCACTCCCAAATTTTAATGCATTGTCCTTCCTTAGCATTTGTGCACAATAACAAAACAATTTATGGAAAAAGAGACTTAGTCATTTGGTTGTTTGGTTCAGTATCTAATTAAGAGACATACTAATTATACCAAATGTAAATAAAATGAAATAAATTGCATAAATTTGCACTTCAGTGTCCTAATTCTAGACCCCAAGTCCTTTAAATCCTGTAGTAGCAATGGGCCACATCGTATCAAACTGCACTTGTTACCATCCCTGAATTCCTGCCCACTGAGTGCCCACCAGTTTTACAGCTTCCAGACTGCAATCATGAACAGTCCTGCTTATTTAAGGAAGGGTCCAAGGAAGGATTAGGTTGAAAACAATAGTCATTGGTCTGCGAGGCAAAGATGAGAGTGTTTCGATGGTAGCATTAAAACAAAATTATGTCAATGAAGTAGAAAAACCAGCCATAGTGGTATACATCTGTAATCTCAGTTATTCAGGAGTTCGGCAGCAGTAGGATTAAGAGTTCAAGGTTAGCCTGGGAAAGTTAGACTCTGTCTCAGAAACAAAATAAAAGCAGCAAGGCTGGGTCCTGACTCAAGTGGTAGAGCTCGCCTAGCAAACAAGGCCCTGGGTTCAGTCCCCAGCACCATGCCAAACCAAACAAACATCTCTTGAACCCAGGAGAAATGCCACATGTGCAGAATCTTTAAATTGTTTTAATTTAACTAAATGATCCCTATGACTTCTCCGGTTTCTCGTGGAGTCACATAGCACTTATGGCCTTGAGAATGAAACAGCTTTCCAGGGAAGTGTATTAAAGTCATTTACAAACTGAGAATGAGAAGTCCTCTCCACGGCTCTTTCTGAGTCTTGCTGTAGGATTTTCAATGGGGCTGAGTCAATGTGCATCTAACCAACAGGCGCTCAACAGCAACAAATGTGCTGAACAGCCCTGAGAGCTATGGAGAGGATTCTGGGAGAAGTCTTCAGGCTTTCTGTTTCTCAGTGAGCAGCCATTGCTCGTGTGGATTGCTGTGATGACTCAGGGAAGGAGTAATTTGGGGAGAATTCCACGGCTCCAAGTACTTTGATGATGCAGTATCATTTAATATGAAGTCTTGAGTGATAGGAGAGATTTTCAAGGAGAGCATTGTGCATGGTTTTCACTTTATACACGCACTGGTTTTAGAACTTAATCTTAATGGAAGATGCAATTTTACTGTATTAATTTTTAAACATTGTGACATTTCTTCTTGATTAATGATGACAACTGACTTTTTTTTTGGTGGTACTGGGGTTTTTGAACTCAGGGCTTCACACTTGCAAAGCAGGTGCTCTACTGCTTGAGCTACTCTTCCAGTCCATTTTACTCTGGTTATTTTGTTTTTTATTTTAATATTTTTATTTTTTCCCCTTTATTCTTGTGCTGGGTAGGAGTACATTATGGCATTTGCAAAGGTTCTTAAACTGTATCATACAATACCTGAATTCACCCCTTCCACCGCTCCCCTTTATCCCCCGCTCGGGTTATTTTGGAGATGGGGTCTCGAGAATTAGTTGTCTGGCCTCAAATCACAATCCTCCCATTTTCAGCTTCCCAAGTAGCTATAGGCATGAGCCACCTTCAACTCTTTTGAAGACTTACTGCTCTATACAGGCCCTTCATATGCTAAATTCTTTATACATGAATCTCTGTTAGGTAGAGAGAATGCTCATCCTTTTTGCATGGAGTAAAATTGGGGTCAGAGAGCCTTAGGGTCACAAAGCTACTAAGAGCACATGTCTGAGTTTGGAAGAAGGCTGTCTTTGGATTATTTGGTACCGGGGTGAGCAGGGGTTGCTTTCTCCCTGCAGGCTGTAAGTTGTCTGAGGACAGCCTTCTGTGTACCCTCCTTGTGCCCTGTACACAGTTAGCACTTAAACAAGTGAAATGGTATGTGCAAAGAATTTAACTGAGGAAGAATGTTTAAAGCAACAACCACAGCCTGTCATGGTCTATATTTAACCTGCTCTTTAACCATCCCACATCTAACCTCAGAGTACCGAACTGAAACGAAAATCAGACACACCTTCTGCCCTTGAAAATCTAATCACAGATGTGCAGCTCAGTGGTGAGCACGAGAGGGATTGAAGGGAGGGAAGGAAGGAAAGGAAAGGAGGGAGGAATGGAGAAAGGTGGGAGGGAGGAACCTAGTCATAGACTGGCAAATGGCCAAGTTAAGACCCTGTGCTGTGATAAAATACACTTTCCTTCCTCTGTGGCAAACCTTCCCCAGACTCCAGGACTCATTCCTGATCTGAGCAAGCGTCTGACTCCTGGTGCGCTCTGTCTAGCCTCTTGTAGACCATGGCCAGTCCGCCTGTTGTTGGTGACCAAGCGCTACCTGTGTGTCTCTCAGTTCAGTCTCAGTCTCCCCACTGCTGCACCCGCTCCCAGGTTCCCAAGTCACTGCTTTCCAAGAGCTGGGAATGACTTGGAGAGTTTAAAAACCATGACTGTTGGGCCAGCACAGCATGCCCACCAGGTCAAGGGTGGTGCAGCCTGAGACCCTGGAATTTAAAGAATTCTTCAAGCCAGGACTAAGAAACTTAACCTAAACCACTACAGTGACTCCCCGTGCTCAGTCTTGCCTCACTCTGCTCCTGCCTGGCCTCTCTTTTTCCCCCACAGTTAATCTTTTCAAAATGAAGTGTTAATCTCTTCTGCCCTCCCTAAGCCTTTCCCTGTATTCTCATAGTGGGTGCCAAAACCCCAGCTATGCCTGGAAAGCCTCCTTCTTCTGGTCTGGCCATGGCCTCAGCTGCGGCTTGCTCCAGATGCCTCCAGGTTTCTGTGCTCACACACATTTATTTTTTTTTGTGCTGGAAGTTGAACCCACAGCTTCATGCACCAAGTTATGCCCACAGCCACTTTCTTTTTGTGTCTCCTCAAACATGTCCCGTTCCTTCCCACCACAGGGCCTTATGCACAGGCTGTGCTCTCTGTGATGCTGTCTCCCTCCGCTTTGCTGACTTCATTTTTAGCTCATCTTTCAGCTCCCGGTTCGTTGTTCTCACAGGAAAACCCTGGTCTATTAATACGCTCATCTGCTTCAAACCATTTATGGAAAGTGGGATTTTATGGCTGCTTCGATGCTGTTGCGCCCACTAAATCTCCTTGAGTATAAAAACCTGTGTCTATTTTTGCTTCACGGTGGTGTGTTGGAAACCGAGCTCCCAGGCTGCCATCTAAATAAGCTCTCCAAGGCTCTACTGAAGGAATCAGCATGAATGGATGAAAATGAGCCCACATCAAATCTATCACCATGTCCAAATGATGTCACCTCCAAAATACCTCTAGAACCCATCTGTTCCTCTTCACTCCCCTGCTGGTCAGAGCCACCACCATCTCTGGTTCAGACCCCTCGGTGGTCCATACACCCTCCCTTTGGTCTCCCCAACAGCCAGAGTGAGCTTCGCACACAAGGCTGAGGGTACAGCTCAATGGAAGGTGAGTGCTTACCACATGGAAGACACTGGGTCCCACTGAAGTACCCCAAATTAAGAAACACTGAAAAATCCTTCATGTCTCTCCATTGCTCTGGAAATCAAATCCAGACACCTGCCCATTCACCCCACTATTACCCACCCATCCCTCTGACGCTGGCCTCCTCCATCCCTCCGACATGGCTAAAGCCTTCCTGGTTCCAGGGTGCACTCACTGCTTCTGCTTTCCGGATGCTCTGCCCATGTCATACTCTCAGGGCTCGGCAGAAACTATGTCGTCATCTCCCTGACTGCGTCCTTCCCTGTGCTCATCACTGTGTTGTATGTCTTATGGCTTTGCCAAAACCTGAAACTTAGAAAACGTCCTGGGCTGTGTGCTCGGTCCTCCTCCAGCAGGTCAGCTCTGGGAGAGCAGGTGTCGTGTCCATCTTGTCGGCGTCTCCAGGAGTTCGTGTCTGGTTCAGAGCAGTGCTCCATGTCGCTTCCCTCCTGAGCTGCTTTAGGTCTGGCCATGTGTGGCTAATAGGACACCTCAGAAGTGACAGTGGCGGCTTCAGGCATCACTGTTCCCACTGGATCTCAGGTCACTTCATCTAGAGAAGTCACCACCCAGCCGTTGGAACAGTCGAGCAGCCCATGAAGAGGCACTGAGCCCCTGTCAACAGCCAGCTCGACCACCCTGACTGAGTCACATTGGAGGGGGCACTGAGATAAAAAAAGTCACCATTGCATCCATGTTTTAAGTCATGATGGAATGATCCATGACAACAGATAACATATCTAGTCCAACAGTAACGGAGCGATGAACACTTCAATACAAACTCTGTACAACGGGCCAGCTTCTGACCTCACCGGGAGGGGTAATGTCTTATGTTGCCCGGCTGGCACATCCTGGCACCGTTTTCAGTTGTCCACAGATCCCAGTTTCATCCTATCTGCCTAAAACCTTATTTCTGTCTGAATGACGATCCTGCAGAAGTGAGAGGCTGTGAGTTCTCCTTAATTCTCGCAGTGTGTTTTCTGTGAACACTGATATCCTTCTTTACTCCAGGTGCCCTGTCACATGAGTCTTCTGTCCCTGTCCCCTGGAATCTTCCTGTTCATTTTAAGAGGCCCGGCTTTGAGTGTGACATATCTCAGTTTGACCTCAGCTTTCAGCTCCTGCTCCTCCACCTGGTAGTGGTTCTCCTAGAGATCCATATGCTGGGTGTCATCTTCCTGTTGGATCACAAGCTTACCATGGCAGAGATCATGGCTTCAACTTTTCATGTACCTAGTTCAATGCTGGGGACGTAGCACTTGTCTTCATAGATTTGGAAAGAATTAGGAGCTGTCTAAAATAAGCAAGGGAAAAGACCTCTAGTGTCTAATGAGATTTTGTCCCAGCAGAGGGTTGGAAGCTACAGGCCCTGGTTTCCCTCCTACAAAACAGGTGTTGTCACACCCCCAACAATCTTGAGGGGACAAATGCTGCTCCAGCTCTGAAAGACAGGAGGTCTACTGATGTTCCCCAACCCCTCCTCACTCAGGCAGTGTCTGCTTCCCTCTTCACAAATCCTTCCATCTACCCTACACCCTTAGTCTCCTTTAGCACACCTTCCTGAGGCGGCCTCTGGCACCCATCCCTGACCACCCTTCATCCCCCTCCCGGCTGTGACACACAGAAGTACTACAAAGGGAGTGTAGAATTTCTGAACCCAAATGTGGCAAGTAATTGTCATAAAATCACTTAAAACAGAGAATGAGGAACAAATTCCCTTAGCAGACCATTGTCACTTGACCAGGGCTCGGATCTGTGTCTGCTTCCTAAGAAGGATTATTCGTGCATCTCATCCCTCAACTCTCACGGAGCTGGAAAAGGAGGAGAGAGATTCCAGGCTCCTCTAACTTCTTTCTGTACCTGACCCCTCCTCCACCCCCACCCCGCTGCCAGACTGGCCCCCAACGCACTCCCTGAGATGGCAAGCCCACCGGAGGTGCTGAGCTCACCCAGGTGAGGTTAATCTCCCTGACATAGAGCACGTGACTTAACTTACCGATCCTGTAAAAAGGCAGAGAGTAGTCTCTTTGGTAAGTAGTTTCTTTGTACCATGGTTCGACAGGCCTTGAATGTCTTCGAAAACAAATACATTGAATGAGCGTTTGTTGATCTAACTGAGGATGACATGGAGTTCTCTTGGGAGGAATGGCCAAGTCTATGGGTGATCTAAATGGAAATAGAAGGAGGCTGAACACCACTGGAAGAAAGTGGTCCCTTTCCTCATCAGCTCCGGTCCATTCCCAGGAGTGGCCAGGAGACTGACAAACCAGGAATGGCAAGACTCCCAGTGCCCCAAGGCTGGGTTGAGTGAAGCTGCCCTCTGGCGGGGAGGGGGTTGATGTCTTCTGGGTTTCCTCTGAGCGTCACTCCTACACAACCATAGGTCAGAGAGGTGGCCTGCACCAAACCTCCACTGCCTGTGCCCAGGGCCTGCAGCCGGCCCTCCAGATCTTTCTTGCCCATGGTCACTTCCCTGTAGATGTTTGGACCCTTCAAGGAGCTAATGCATTCTGTCACAAGACCAATACTGCAGTGCATCTTGGTGTTTGATAGACATAAAATCATGTACCACCCTCTCATATCCTACTCAGATTCTCTCCAAAGATGAGAGTAAAGTAAACAAGAATCAAAAATACCTCCAGACACCAGGGGAGTACCCCTTTACTGGTACTACTTGTTTGAGATATGAATGTTAGTCTGCATTGATGATACGGATTGAGGCCTTGAAAATGTATCTCAGTGATTCTAGCAGTTAGGGATGTCAGTGAGGACAGCTCTCAGGGTGCCCATCATTGTATTTTATGATAACAAAAAGAGTGGGCACAGCATGGAAAAAAAGGCACACACCCTCCGAGGTAACAGATGTGCCAGTTACTCTGGTGTACCCGTTGCCATGTCTACGTGTGTACATGTATCACACAGCACCCAACAAATGTACAAATACTGCGAATAAATTCAAGATAAAAGTACTTTTAAAAAGACAATAGGGAGCTGTTTAGTCTAATAGGCACATATAGAAATACCGCATCACTATTAAAAGTGACACTGTAGAATTACAACTTTTGAGATGGAAGAAAGCTCACAACCATGAGTTTACACAAAAGTTTTGGTTAAATTCTGTACTTTAAATGAACGAATTGTTCACGTCATTGTGACGTGATTTATGTCAATAAAGCTGTTACCAAAAATGTATAAATAGTTTAAGTTTTGCAACACCACCCCAATTTTATTTTGGCCCGTGCCCAAGGATGACTTGCAAATCATGAAGCATTTCATTATTTTTTCAGGATTTGTTTCTCATCTTGGAACGAGATTCCACACAAGTGATAAAACTTGTTTTTAAAATTTTCTCCAAAAAACAAACAAAATTTAGAACTGATCCTAAGAACTACATGATTTCCTGCTTTGATTGTGTTTTTTTTTTTTTTTCAGTGCTGAAGCTAAAGCCCAGGGCTTCACATATTCTAGGCAAGTGCTCTACCTTCAGCCCTTTCTTCTTGTTCTTAACTAGATGCTTAAAATAAATTCCAGATTGACATTTGCATCTTAAGGCTAATCTTGGGTAGGCACACGAGTGTTGGAGTCAAGCAGAGTGGAGCTCCCTTTCCAGAGCCGTCCTCTGTCAGGAAGACTGACATTTGGGCACTGAAAGATGGGATGTGGTGGCAGTGGTGACTGGAGAAGGGCAATTGTCAGAGTTCACATGGGAAACAATTCAGAGGAGCCCCTGTGGAGCTGGGCCATGCACAGCTCTGACAACGGGTCCTGTTGTTTCCTCTGTTGTCGTCCTCTAGTAGAGGGCATAGCTGTAATAATGGCTCTCTCAGCAGGGTGTGGTAGCCTGTGCCACAGTCCCTGCTGCTCTAGAGGCTGAGGTGGGTTTGAGACCAGTCTGGGCAACATAGTGAGAGCTCATCTCAAAATTTAAAAAGATAAAATTTACTAAAATATGTATTTGAATTAGAACTAAGAGCCTTGAAGTGGGACCCAGAAAACGTGAATACACTTAAGTCCAAACACACTAAATAACCGTGTGTCACTTCTCTGTCATCTAATTGGATGAGAATGACCTCAACACTACCCCCAGTTTCATCATCTAAGTACAGATGGTACACTGTTCTAAAATATAGATGTCATGACTTCCGCCTCTGCTACATCAAAGTCAGAGAAGAGAAATTTATAATATCCAGGAGATGATGAACTCAAAGTGAGATCTGTCATCTGCCAAGTGTTGCTATGAGCTGGAGTTTTATGTCAGTTGTTTTATTTAGCAGACGAGGTAACTGATACTCAGAGAAGGAACAAAACTGCCCAAGATGAAACACTTTAGAAGTCACTCTCATTGCTGCCTTCAACCCGTTGTAGCATTGAGCTCCCTAAACTTGAAAATAAGGTCAAAGTACCTACCAGCATTTGGTTGGTTGGTTGGTTTGGTTTTGTGTTGTTTGGTTTGATTTCTTCAGTTTGCTTGGTTTTGTTTTGTGTTGTTTGTTGTTTGGCTCAGTTTGTTTTATTTGGTTGGTTTTGTTTTGTGGTAACAAAAGAGCAGAAACCATTAGTCCAAGTTCATAACTTCACTGAGAAAGAAGCTGAATTTCAGTAAGTTGAAATTCAAATTCATAGTATTTCTTAAGTTACTTTGATGATTTAATTACATTCTGTATTGCTGATTGTAAAAGTAATATATGCTTCTTAGAGATAATTAGAAAAAGGGATTAAAAAAGTAAAATACAAAAATACTAATAATCTCATCACTCAAAAAAGACAAAACAAGATACCTTGTTTGGGCTCTGGGCATAACTCCAACATCCACCCCCCCAAAAAAAACAACAAATAACACCAGCATTTTATAGATTAGTGTATTTCCTTCCAAACCTTTTCTATTAAGGTTCTCTATTAAGTAATATTATTATTATCGACATTGTATAGCCTTTTATTTTTTCACTTATTCTAGCTTTGGTGACAATCTTGGAAATGAAGACTTAAGGCTGTGTCTTACCTGGGAGCCTTCTTCTCACTGCAGTCAAAATGGCACCTTGCCAGTTGCCCAGGGTAATAGCCTTGGACGTCCTTTCCTTGATGAGCAATAAATATACTAGTGGAGAAAGGAAGGGGGTGAGAGAAAAGCAGTCATTACAGTTACTTCTGTTGTGTGATAGAAAATATCTTTGAACTTTGTCCCCAGTTCCTGGCTACTGGGAGTTTCCTGACAGTGTCTTTTGCCATTCATAAAGCCTCTTTCCACTAGACCTGAGACTGTGGTACTAACCCCCTCCTTCCCCACCCACCCTCCATCATCTGTAGTAAAATCTTAACGTAGTTTCAAGATCATAAGGAGATATTTAATGTGTCAGGTACTAAGTTCAAAAGATACAGAAAAAAATTTAAAAACCAAAAAGACATGTAAAACCAATGAGATGAGTGTTGATAATTGCTGAAACAGGAATGAGTAAATGGGGACTCATTATACTATATTTTACTTTTGATATGTTTACAAATTTTCATATTTTTTCTTTTTGAACAGTAATAACTAAGTTTTGAGGGATTGAAATGAGGCAGTACTGTGATGTCATGAGGTGCTAATAAGCCCAGAAGAGGGGCTGCTGCCTTCAGAGGAGGGCTGCGGTGTGGGGAGCATAACCTGAGCCAGTGGGGTGGGGGGTGGGGGTGCTTGCTTCTGAGGTGTGAGCAGGAGATGTGTTTGTGCAAATCAAACACAGTGGTGCTATCACTGGGGTGTCGAATGTTGCCCAAAGTCCCTGTGTCAAAGGCTTGGTCCCCAGGCTGGCACTAATGGGAAGGGATGGAACCTTTAGGATGTGGGGCTTGGCCAAGAGGTGATAGTTTGCTCTGCCATCCAACACCCCTACCTGGAGACCCAAAGCAACAAGTCCACCTAATCATGGGCAGGAACCCCCAAAACGACAAGCCAAAATAAACCTTCTCTCTTTGTAAAATAATAATCTCTGGTGTGTTGTTACAGTGATAGAAAGCTGACAGACACAGTGGTGCTCAGCCTTCACACTTGTAAATACATCTTGTTTTAAATACATCCCAGTTATTTTGTTACAATGGTACATGGATAATATAAAGCCAGGTGTAGTTGGATCATATAATTTATGTATTTTCTTTCACAAGGGCAGCAGAGACATTCTAAAGTATTTGTTACAAAAGAGAAGATGTTGTGTCTGAAAGTTTTGACAGTCACTGAGGTCGATGACTGATGGAGTATCAGTAACATTCTTAAGATTAATGCCATGACAGCTTTCTCCTGATGGCAATGTGGAAAGCAAATTTGAGGACAGTCTGACAATCTTCCTGGCTAGGAAGCGATTGTGGCCCTTTGTGTGGGCTGTGGTGAAGCTCTGAATGATGGGGTTTAAATGTGGACAGAGGATGGATTTTACATTCCTGCAAAATGTAAAGAGGAGGGAGGAGGGGGAAAGGAGACGGTGAGCAGGAATGAATTTACAGAGGTACATTTTATGTGTAGGTATGAAAACAACACACTGAAAACTGTTAAAAAAGGAGGTAGTTGGAAGGGAAGTGGTCAAGAAAGACGCAGCAAATTTGATCAAAGGACGTTATATGCATGACGTAAACATCACAATGAAACCCTTTTGTTCAGTAAATTTTTTTTTAAAGTGTAAGGAAAATAAGCATCATCACAAAAGTGAAAACTGAGACAATGAATCTTTAACCAGCTAGATAAACATTCCACAATGTTTATATCCTTGAAAGCATGGCATTGTACAGATTTAAAAAAAACAATGTTATGTCAGTTTAAACATCAGATAAAGCAATGGAGGAGGAGAGGAGAGGACTGGTTAAGGATGTTTTGGGAGATGGGACTTAGGTGTCTGAGACAAGGTGCAGGCCTTGAGCACTGGGAAGAAGGGAGCTGTTCCCCCAGAGAAGGACCTAGCAAGAGGTTGGGAGGTTGTTGGGAAGACGTCATTTCAGAGTTTGTGTTGGCTGTCTGTGGGGTCTTTCTTAATATTCCACAGATTCTGAGCACTCATAGCTACCACGAGAATTCTTACTTAGAAAAAGAAGAGCCAGTAGGAAGAAGCCCGCCATTTTTTCATAACGCAAAGTCACTAAACCTGTGTTGGGTTTACCAGCATTTATGGAATGCATGCAAGGTACCCTGCTCTCTGCTAGGTCTACACTACAGAGCTAGGAAGCAGTCCTGGGCCTCAAAATGCTGTTTCCATGCTGAAATACTCACCTAGTGAAGGGCCAATACGGCACCAAGGAGGGAGGGGTGGCTAGGGTTTGGACAGGCGAGTAGGATGTGGGAGGGACTCCAGGTGAGGGGAATTATAGAAGCCAAGGCTGTACAGAGTAGAGTGTGAGGGGGTTTTAGTCAGCTTTTCATTACTGCCTTACTGTAACAAACACCTGGGATAAACCAACTTAAAAACGGGAAAGGTTATTTTGGCTCACAGTTTCTGTCCATGACCAGTTGGCATTGTTGCTTTGGATCCACTGTGGTGGCACAGGATCTAATGGCAGAAGTGCCTAGAGGAGCATGTTGCTCACCTCAGCAGCTGGGAAGCAAAGAGAAGGAATAGGAGGGGCAGGGCTCCAAAATCCCCTTCAAGAGCATCCTCCCAGTGATCTACTTCCTCTCACTGGGCCCCACCTCCTAAAGGTTCCACCATCTCCCAAACCTTCAACACATGGCCTTTGGGAACATTCAGGATCCAAGTGATAGCAGGGGCCAGAGCAGGCCTAGCTGTCTAGCAGGAAAGGCCAGTGCTGAGCAGGGCAGGTTTTGTCTATGCAAACAGAACCTTGGGAGCTTTGATTTTCTGAAAACCCACAGGCTGTCTAGACCTGCCAAGACTGGGATAGTATGACTGAGCCCTGAATTACGGAAGGGGATTAAGTCAGAAGAGTAGCGAGAAGCTAACACAGAAAGAGGAACACATGACATGTCTGGATGCACAGGATGGGGAGACAAGTTTTCTCAGGTGCCCATCCAGTTTCTGAATCAGTGCCTTGGAAGGCTTCCCCTTGGGTCAAGTTATAGCTCAGGAAGAACCCCAGGGGTCCAGAGGACCCTCTGCTGGGCAGTCATTCTGCCACCTGCAGGAGGTCATGTTTCATTGGGTCCCTCACAGGTGTGGTCCAGTAGTGCTGCTGAGTGCAGGCGAGGAAACACAGCACTGCTCCTCAGACGCTGCCTTGAGGATGGAGCAGCACATTTCCCAGTGCCCACTCAGCAACGATCCTCCCTGCAGTCCTTCAGGAGCATCCTCAGCAGGTTTTGGCAGGAGTGGAGAGAGGGAGCTGGAAAGTGTAGCATCTGGGTGCTGGAGGGAGGGAGGCGGGTGCACAAGTGGAGAGATTTTGGGAAGGAAAGGCGATGTGCTCTCTAGATAAGTCTCCCAAGCTCCCCCATGTGGCCTTCACCTCAAACATGAAAAAGCTTCTGATTCTGAGATTAAAATATCCTTTTTTTGGAAGAGAATTTTTTCTTCCTGGGGGATACCTACCCTGGCCACAGGCTGTACAGTGCCGGCCTCTGGTCTAGAGGTTGGGTATGAGGCACAATGTTGAGTGACTGTGAACAAGTTGCCAACCTTCCACACCTGGCTGCAGAGTCCTGTCCAGAGGCTCTGCTCAGAATGACCAGCTTGGCTTTCAGGGTTCCTGCTCAGCCCGGCACAATATACTTTCCTTCTCCCTAGGTGGGAGCAGGCAGTCCAGCTGCATCTGGTTCTGTCATGAATTATTTACAAGGCCCCGACAGCTTGGCTCTCTGAGGTGATGTGTTCAGTCCACACAAGAAAGCCTGTCCCGAGAGAGGGACTGTAACCAGAGCAGGATCTGGGCTCAGCCACAGACAAAATTCAATACACACAGGAGTGGTCAGGGGTTCAGGGGTGTTCCTTCCTCCAGAGCCTGGACCAGGGCCCAAGGCCACCTGTGTCACTGTGCCCATGCTCTTCCGTGTTATACCTGTGTGGTGGCTCACAGCCTACAAAGGACTTTTGCAGACATGATCTCTCATTCAATTCTCACAGCCACCTGTGAGAAAGGTGATAAGTTCCTTGCTTTGTAACAGTAAAAAGAAGTTCAAGAAAGGCTATGTGGACTTTTTAAATATTGTCCGCCTAGTAAATGCTACAGCCATGCATCAAATCCAGGTCCGTAAACTTTATGTGGTATCCAGAATCTTATATGTATGTGTATGATGATTTTTTTCAGAATAGTTTAGCATTATTTCTGTATAAGCAATATGATTCTTCCACTTGAGGACAGACAGCAGTAGACATAAGGTGCCAAAAAAAATAGGAAAGCAAAAAACAAACAAAAAAAGAAAGCCAGGCATGGTGGCACACATCTGTAATTCCCACACTTGAGAGTCTGAGGCAGGAGAACAGTGAGTTTGATGACAGCTTAGAAAACACAGTGAGACCTTGTTCCCCCAAAAAAAGAAGAAAAAGGAAAAGAAACTGCAGAGTTAAACCACTCCATCAATCAAATGTTCTTAACAGTCATCTACAGAATATTCCATCCAACAGCAGTAAAATACACTTCCTTCTCAGCAGCCCAGGGAACTTTCTCCAAAATAGATAACCGTAAGCGATAAGCAAGTCTTAACAATACAGAAATATTGAAATAATAACATCAAGAGAAACTGTGACATATGTAGAGATCAAGCAACACGCTCGCTCTTGAACTGTTAGTGGGTCAGTGAAGAAATCAGAGAAATTCCTAGAATCAAGTGAAAATGAAAACACAGCTTACCAGAACCTCTGGGATACAGTGAAGACAGTTCTAAGAGGAAGTTTATAGGTGTGAGTGCCTATATTAAAAAAAAAATTTAGAGACTTCAAATAAGTAATGTAATGATATACCCCAAACTCTTAGAAAAACAAGAACAAGCAAAATTCCAAATTAGTAGATGAAATAAAAATCAAGGCAGAAATTAATGAAATGAAGACTAAAACAACAATCTAAAGGATCAATAAAACCTAGAGTTTATTCTTTAAAAAGGCAAAAAAAAGGTTGGGGGACATGGCTCAAGCGGTAGAGTGCCTGCCTAGCAAGCACAAGACCCTGAGTTCAAATCCCAGTACTTTAAAAAGAAAAAAAAAAAAAAACCAAGATTGACAAGCTTTTAGTGAAATTAATCAACACAGTAAAAGGTGTATGAAACAAACATACATCCAACATCATTCTGAATAAGGAAAAACAAAGCATTTCCTCTAAAATCAGAAATGAGACAAAGGTGTCCACTCTCTCCAGTCTTATTCAACAGAGTGCTTGAAATCATATCCAGAGCAGTAAGACAAGAGAAAGAAATAAAAGGGATATAAATAGGAAAGGAAGAAGTCAAATTATCCCTATTTGCAGATGGTATGACCCTATACTTAAAAGCCCATAAAGACTCCACCATAAATGGAGTCTGATAAACACTTTCAACAAAATAGAATACCAACTTTATAGACAAAAGTCTGTTACTTTTCTATACACTAATAACTAACATGCTGAAAAACAAATCAGGAAAACAATTTCATTCATGATAGCCTCAAAACCCCCCCACCAAAACCAAACCAAACAAAGGCAATAGCATAGATACCTTAAAGCAACTGAGGCCAATAGGAAAAGGGGAACAGGTACTAGAGAAAAGGTGAGATCAAAAAGAATTAACCTAGAAGGTAACACACACGCACAGGAATTAATGTGAGCCATGCCCTGTATTAGCTTATCCTTATCTCAACCAGCAAAAACCCTTGTTCCTTCCTATTATTGCTTATATCTCTCTCTACAACAAAATTAGAGATTAAGGGCAAAATTTAGTTCGCTGGGTATTGAAGGGGGGGAGAGGGAGGGGGGGAGTGGGTGTAAAGGAGGTGGTGGGGGCAGGGAAACAATGCTTTCCAAATTGAAAACCTAGGAATAAGCCTAACCAAGGAAAGGAAAATCCTCTCCGATAGAATCTATAAACACTGAAGGAAGAAATTGAAGAAGACATCAGAAGATGGAAAGACCTCACGTATTCATAGACTAGCAGAATTAATATTGTGACAATGCCTATATTACTGAAAGCAATCTATAGATTCAATGCAGTCCCCATTAAAATTCCAAGGTCATTATTCACAGAAATAGAAAAAATAATCCTAAAATTCATATGGAAGCACAAAAGACTGACTAGCTAGAGTACTCCTGAACAAAATGAACATACATTGGTAACGACTTTCTGACTAGGACTCCAATCACTCAGGAAGTAAATAGCAAGAATTGACCAGTGGGATTGCATCTGATAAGTAATTTATCATGAGATAATACACAAATGATAAGATTAAAGGGAAGGGTGGAAGATAACCACCCCATCCTCTCATCTCCAGGGCTGTACTTTCTCAAGGAATGAGGGGGCCTCTGTTTTCTTATCAGTAAAATAGGAGTGATAACTATTATCTTCATTGATAATGGTTGAGAGTCAGTGAAGCAATTTTGCACACGACAAAAACTATCTCTTCTGAATTAAGTGTTGCTGTCCTAGGCAGAATGAGCCACCCCCCAACAAGTCGAGACCTTTAAGATAGGCTCCAATAGATTGCTTGTTTCTTTTGGGTGCTGGGGTGGAACCCAGGGTCTTGTGCAGGCTGAACATGTGCTCTACTGCTGAGCCCTACTCCCAGCCCAATCCATGTTTTAAAACTCCATTTAAATTGGACAAAGATTCTGCATCTTTTATCTTCCATACCACAGGGACTTTAGCCAACCGAAGTGATCTTTCCATGATCATCCTGGACTCCACAAACCAATGCAGCACCCAACCCTGGCCCCAAGTGTCTGAGACTTGGGAATGGGCACTAGTTAACACTTGTATCTAATATGATTCTTTTTATGAGAATCTTATGTGGTCACTATTACTTGTCAACTCTCAAATACTTACTTTTATTAGGTATCCGTACTGGTTTGTAATTCAGTTTTCTCTAGCACAGCCTTTGGGGTTAGGCATGTGAGGATGAACTAGATGAATGCTTGTGCAGAGCGGCAGAAGGGCAGACTCAAGTTCTGAGTTGCCAGGAGGCCAATTCACAAATGAAGGACAGCATAGGTTTGCTCATGTGCTCATTTTAGTTTACTCAAGGTCTGTGCATAAAGGTATTCAAGAAATAAAGAAACACATAAAACAAGTACGATAGGGAATACAAAGGAAAGGGTGTGAGAGAGGGACTTACAGAGGTGGAGGGGTAGGCAGAAGGAACTCTTCCAGCCAGGGTGGTCAAAGAAAGACTGTCTGACTAGTTAGCAACAGAGCTGAGACAGGCTGGGTGATAAGAAGACCCTGTCCCAAATCCCTGAGCTATGAAAGACCCATGGCTTTCGAAGGGACTGAAGGGAAGACAAGGGACTCAGTCCAGGGAAGGGTGGGAGAGATGGGCAGGGGAAGTTCCTGTAGGGCTTTGCAGGTCACAGAGGGGAGTTTGGATTTTATCTAAGTGTAGTAGGTTAGAGAGTTTTATTCCAGGGAGAGCTGTGATCTAGTTCCCATTTTATGCAGCTCACTCTGGAGAATGGGTTGTTGGAGGAGATAGGCAGGGGAAGGCAATGGTGATTTGGACTCCTTGGGCACAGTGAGCTGGAGAGATGTTACATTTGGGATCTAGAATGTCCCTTGAGGGCCTGTGTGTTAAAGTCTTGGACCCCAGTTGGTGCTGCTGTTGGGAGGTGGTGGAAAATGTAAGCAGTGGGAGGAAGTTAGGTCATTGGGGGAGTCTGAGGGAAATTGGGACCCAACCTTGCTTCTCTCTCTTTTGCTCTCTGGCCACTAAGAGTGGGCAGCTCCTTATGCTACATGCTCTCATCATGATGTACTGTCCGCCACGGGCCCCAATCAGTGACCAGGGGCTGAAACGTCTGGAAGTGTGAGCCAAAAGAAACCTTTTCTCCTTTAAGAAAAGGAAAAAAGGATATTTGTCTGGGTGTGACAAATATCTTGGGTATTTGTCACACCCAGAGCTGACTGACACACAAGCATTCCAATGGAGATGCTAGATACGACAGAACCTGCTGGGGGATCAGACCCACGTTGTGACCAAGGCCTAAGGTAGATAGAGAGCCGTCCCAGAGCAAGCACTGCAGGGGAGGGCGGGGTGCCGGGTCTGTGCAGGTGTGGGTTCATGCCCACACAGCTCTGATAATGCGTGAGAGGGATACAGCTCAGCCTTTGGCCCTCAGAGGGCCCCATGGCCCTCAGGCTCCCCGGGGGACTGGATCCTGTGACCGATTGGGCTCCACTGAGCTCCAGGCAGCAGCACCCAACAAAGATTTGCTTCCATTTTCCCCAGGAGACCAGAGCACAGTTAACCAGATCCTATAGTAGACAAAACATTCTTACACGTACACAGAGAGTCCAAGGACTCGTGGGGTGGGAGGAGTCGGAAGTAGTGGAACCCATCCCTACTCCCGTCCACGCTGCTTCCTCCTCAGGTGGATTTCAGGGACAGACGGTAGGCTTTGGGATTTCTCTGAAAGGAAGATTCTTAAGGAAACACCCTTCCACTCACCCTTCTTTCAGGAATTTCAGAGACAAAAAAGACTTCTTTTCATTGGCCAGATGTTGTTAAGTAACTAATGTCATTATAAGGCTTGCTCAAATCCACAAAGCCAGTGTGGCTGCAAAGTCACCGTTGAGGCCACTGCCTCAGTTTCCTGGCTTCTAAATGTCTGCACAGCCCATGGCAGGTGGTGAAAGAGGGGGACTGGGACTTACAGGATTTTACTTGATGGCTCAGCCAAATGAATTGAGGAGAACATATTTAGGGCTCGTTATTCCTGGTCATGAGGTCCTTGACCTTGGAGGAATGAAAGTCCTCCCTGGTTTCTATCTGTGCTCTCATAGAGCATGGTTTGATTTACCACGAGCAGAGTAAACCTTGGGCTTCAGTCCCTCATAAAAAGAGAGGACTTGCCAAGAGAAAACCAATATCCTTCTGATCTTTGGGGGATCTGGAGTTACCTGCTTGCTTGGGTGCTGCAATGAGTATGGAATTTCTTTTCTTACAACTTTCCTGAAACCCAAAGAAGCTTCACTAGACCCCCCTGGCAGCAATTGTCACTCAATTAGGGAGCAGCACAGTGAGCAGTTCTAGCTCCCCAGGTGCCTCCTGCCTTGCCTCAGCTCCCGGAGGGTCTGCATCCAAAACAACGGTACCTGGGTGGAATCACTCGGCGATGCTCCAGAAATTCTCGTAGTCGGATGGCAGTCATGATGGATGTGAATCTAAAAAAAAATATGGAGTGAAATTGCATATGGTCAGGTTACACCCATCACCAGACACAAGCTATTGATACCTGTTGGATCTGGAATATCTCCAGTGGCCCACGTGTTGAATAAAGGCTTAGTCCTATTGGAACTGAGTCCTATGGAACCTTTGGTGAGGTGGAGCCTAATGGAAGGAAGTTAGGTCCTTGGGGGCATGTCCTTGAAAGGTACACTGGGATACCAGTCCCTTCCTCCCTATCTCTTTCTCTCTTGCTTCTCAGTCCCCATGAGGCAAGTAGGCCTCCACCATGCTGGTCCTCCATGATATCCTGTGCTGTCACAGGCCCAAAGCAATAGAGCCAAGTGACCATGAACTGAGATCATGATCAAAAATTAAAGTTTTCCCTTATTCAGTTGACTGTCTCAGGCATTTTGTCACAGTTGACTGTCTCAGGCATTTTGTCACAGGGATGGACCACAACATCCATCTTGAAAGAATCACAGAAAGAAAATTGACTTAAGAGGACTCTCCACAGCATCCTTTAGGGAAGGAAATAAAACAGCAAAGAAGTCAAATGTAATGGAAGTATAAGCCAATAAATACAAATAAGGTTTTCTCTAAAAATAAAAGTCTTCTGCTGCAATGCTCTGGGAACTGTCCTCTTTCTGACTTCCTAGTGGGCCTTGTAAGCACAAGCTTGCAAGATAAGCACTAAATTTCCCAGAGGCCTCTAACTGAATGGGGACAGAAGTACTGGGATTGAACCCAGGGCTTGTGCTTGCAAAACATGTGCCCACCTCTTGAGTGACGCCCCCAGAACAATCCTGGGTGTGACTTAGCCCTCCTATCAGATATACTTGAATGAGACTTGGAAGGAGGAAACAGGCCAGAGGCTGCTTCCTGCTGCTTTGACCTTGGGGACTGGCCAGCAAGGCTGTAAAGATGCAGTGGTTTTCAGCAGCAGAGCTCTAGTGACAGTCTCCAGCATCGGGATGTCAACACTGAACTGCTGTGAAGGCAGCTGTCAGCTCAGTGTCCCAGGGTTCCAACACCAGCTCTGCGGGTGCAGAGGGGGAGATGTGGTGGCAGTGGTGTTGCTGGCACTGGGACTAGATTGTTTTCTTTTATTATTAATTTTTTGAGGCAGAGTCTTGCTGTGTAGCTCAGGCTAGCCTGAAAATTAGGCTCTTCCTGCCTCTCCCTCCTGAGTGCTGGGATTACAGATATGCATCACCACACCCAGCTCAGGAGTGAATTCTTAAACTGTCGTTCTGAAACAGCTTCCTGATTTTTGTGGAGTTGTTCTAGAAGCTTCCTGGCGGCACCACCCAGCTTGTCCAATGGTTTTGTAAGGCTTCCAGTCTTTATATTTAGTTCTTTGTATTTCTCATACTGACCTCAGACTGAAACATACAAAACGTTGTTTCTTGACCACAATTTCCCATTACATTCCCAGTACATTATATACTGAAGAACTTAGCTTACAAGCGAATTATTGCATTTAAATATTCACAGAGGTCACAATGGGGAGGAACTGGAGTGAAGGGGACAGAGCTCTGCTCTTTATGGAGTGTCTCCTGCGTACCTTACGCACTTTGCACTGTGTGTCTGCATTGCGTTCTCTAGAAAGAGAGCTCGTCTCTAATTAGCATAGACACAGCAGCTCAGGACACTGGGCTGAGACTCCCGGCCCCTGGCAAGTCATTTGGCAACTCTGTGTATTGGTTACGGTACCTCTCTGGAGAGCTAAATGAGGCGATACTGTGTGAGAGCTCATGACCTAAAGCACCTTTGAGAAAGGAGAAATACGAGTTTCTATACCTGAGCGTGTGTTATGTGTTGAGTAGCATGCATTAGCTCCCATTAGCCTCCCAGCAGCCATGCAAGCGTTATCACCCACAAGAAAACAGGTACAAGGAACAAAGTAGCTTGTACCAGATGACAAGGGCACCACGGTTGGGTTCTCAGGCTCCGGAAACATTAATCTCACCTACTATGTCTTACGGAAACAATCTAAGTGCCAAGGCCATCAGCCAAAACAAAGGAGGCCAGAAAAGTTTCCAGGGGAAGAGAGGGCCAGAAGGAGAATGGATGCGCTGCCTCCCTCTCTTCCCCTTGCTGGTCAAACTGAACTCAGTTCCCACCGGGCTGCTAGCTGCTTTACCTCACCTCCGAGTGTGTTTTTCAAAGCAACTTGAAGAAATTTCAACAGCATTACAGTTATTACAGAATAGTTGGCGAGGCAGAGAAACCTGCTTGTTAAATAATATATCTTTTTCCAAAAGACCCTACCTAAAATCTTTGTTAGCGTGTGTTCATTGTGGCCTTCCATACATATGTGCAGATGGTGTGTAGCACACACTGGTCAAAGTCAACCTGCCTTTCCCCACCCATCCATCTTCCCTGGCTGTCGCAATCACTATTCTGCTTTTGGGTTGACTCTCTTTTTTAGCCTCCACATATGACAGGGAACATGCAGTACTTGTCTTTCGGGGTCTGTCTTATTTCACTTGACATAGATCCTCCAGTTCCATCCATTTTGCTATAGATTATAGGACTGCAGTCTTCTTCCTGGCTGACTGATATACTTCATTGTGTGTGTACATGTGCACACATGTTTATATACATGCATATATGTGTGTAGATACATATGTACAGACACACACATATACATCACATTTTCTGTACCCACCTAGCTATTGATGGGCACCCAGGCTGATTCCATATCTTAGCTCTTGTGAACAGTGCCATGATAAACGGTCTCTTTCACACGCTGAGATAATATATTTTTTACATTTAACACTGCTATGATTTTTTTTAAGGTGGGTGACTGCTTGGCTGGCACGTGTAAGGCTCTGGTTTCAAAAGAAAATTTAGGCAAACACAAATTGAGCTTTGTGTAATTTGATGAGGCAAACTCAGCATATCACTTGAAGTGATATGCTGGGGCGAGTGAGATATATAGGACATTTGTACTCCTAACAAAGACATCCCTGGTTCTGTCCTGGTGATGGCGTGATTGACTATTCAGCACTAAGCATTCTGAACACCGTCACAGGAGATAAACCCATCATGGGTTGCCACGCTCGCCCATGCCATAGAAACCTCCTTGGAGGAACACATTAATCATGGATTTTGAGTCTAAGCGCTCACTCTCAGAGTACTCAGAGGACCCTGTCTGGTTGTGGTTACAGCTCTGTCATTCTGTGTCTTTAGAAACTTCCCTCCACCCCATATAAGGAATCTCAGGTCAAATTATCAATAGTTGCCATTTCCTAGACACATAATAAATGTACTTTGCAGTAAGATATATAAATGCATTTTATTTTAGTCAGTCTTAAAAATATGGTCCTATACCAAATCTGAAAGTGTTAACTCAGGAATGAACTCATCATTTACATATTCACAGCCTAAACAACTATTGGTCTCTGAACCGGGAACACAACTTCATCTTCTTCCATATATATAAATAGTTTTGCTCACTTAATGGAAGATTTTCACTTAGATGTGCCCCAAGTAAACATCTCCCAGAGCAGATGTGAGTTCTAGCTGTACTGTCATGGTACCTTACATTCAAATTCACGTTGACCCTAGGTAACTGATATGGTTTGGATGGGATGTCTCCCAAAACCCATGTGCTCAAGGCTTGGTCCACAGCTTGGCACTACTGGGCAGTGGTGGAACCTTTAAGAGATGGAAACAAAAGGTCTTCTAGTTACTGAGGACAGCCCTTGAAGAAGATTTTGGAACCGTGGTCACTTTCTCACCTATCATTTTTGTTCCCTGCCACCATACGGTGAAGGGATGAGCTGCCATGCATCCCTGCCATGATTTCTCAGAGCAACAGGGCCAATTGGACATGGATCTTCACAACCGTGAGCCCAAATAAACCACTCTTTGTAACTTGATTATCTCAGGTGTTTCGTTACAGTAATGGAAAGCTTGACAGAAAGCGTAAAACATTTCCTAAACTGAAAACAATATACAGAGAGAAAATGATGCCATAATACTGTATTAAACCATCTACAATTATTCCCGTAAACTATTTTCATGTTTCTCATATTCTATAAATACACATATACATATGCTTACATACTTGAAACCACATCAGATATTCTTTGAACATTCTTTGGTTTTTATTTATATATTGTGAAATATTTTCCACATTGTGACAGAGAAGTCTTAATTCTAATACTTCACGTTCCTTTGGGTTGTTTGATGAGGCCCACCCAAGCCCTTATTTATTTATTTAGTGCTGGGGATGGAACCCAGGGCCCCATGCATGCCAAACATATGTTCCACCACTGGGCTACAACCCCGGCCCCGTCACCCTATTTAAATAGGAGCTACCTCTTCCCCTACCCCCGGGACTCCTTATTCCTTCTATATGATCTGTTTTTGTCCCAAACACTTACCATTATCAGCCATACTGTATGATTACTTATGTACCTAGTTTATCTCTGTTCCCACCCTCCCTTAGAAAGTGACCTGTGTGGGGGGAGAAAGGACTGTCTGTTTTGTTAATGGCAATAGTGCTAGGGCCAAAGATATCATCTGGCACCTTGCAGATACTTACTAAATGCTTGGTGACTAAGTGGACATGTCATTTATGAAACCCAGTCCTCTAATTTGGGACATTTTGATCATGATGAATACCTCCACAAATATATCTAATGCTCGAGTTCATTTTTTCAATACATTCCTGAGAATGAGTTAAGACTTGGGCACTGCATGGCTCTGGTTCAGGAGGGTTTAGCTATATCTGTGAATTAACGTTGGTCCCCAAACCACTGAGTGCAGACTCCCAGCACACAGAAATTAAAATTCAGTGGCAGAACCTCTTATTATTCTGATGCTCAGGCGCTAAACTAAGGTAAACCAGTTAAAAATGTACATTGCAACAAACTTCCTGGAAATTAATGTTTAACATCTTGGCTTCAGCAACTAATACACAAGATTTTGTCAAATTTTCCAGCAACTTTTGAATTTGTATAATATATTATTGGTTAAA